CTTGACTCACCCAGGTCTTGATATGCTAAATCTTGTACCAAAAAATAAGGAGCTTACCCAGATTTTGATGAATAGGACCTGGGCACACCCAAAACTCCTTTTGACCTTAAACTCCCCTTTGGAAGCCAATAAATATGCTGTGTTGTCTGTGGTGAGTGTGACTGTCTCTCCATCAGAGAGATGGCACCTACCTAGCGCCCAGCTTTATGAATCTATTTCTGCCTCTTGTCTCTTTCTTTCTCTAATTTCTTAATCCCCAGCTCCTCCCCTCAGGAACCTGTCAGGGAGAAACACCACACATTCGCCCTGTACGTGCACACTCGCACGTGGTATGTTGTGGAAGAGCCACAGTCAAGGGGCCAAAGAGCCGCATGTGGCTCTTAAGCCAAGGTTTGCCTACCACTGCCTTAGGGCACCAGGTGGAGACCACAAAGTCCCTCATTGTTGACTGGTGACTATCCTGTGCCCATCTATGAAAAAGAAGCACGAGTCTATCACCCTACTTTTTACCCATTCCCAGAGGTTCCCCTGCTTTGCTTTCTCCCACCTCCCTAATCTATCACCAGTGGGTTTCAGGGTACCTACTTACATCTCCTGCTTTGATGGCAATTTATAAGAATAGGTAAAAACTGCCATTCAGTAAATTGAGATTCTACTTCCCATAATTTTTGACAGTTTGACTCAAATAAACTCACACAAAAAATTTTTTAATATATTTTTATTGATTTTGCAGAGGAAGGGAAAGGGAGAGATAGAAACATCTATGATGACAAAGAATTATGAAGCGGAGGCTCCTGTACACCCAACACTGAGGATCTAGCCACCAGCCCAGGCATGTGCCCTGACCGGGAATGGAACTATGACCTCTGGTTCACAGATCAAGGCTCAACCACTGAAGCACGCTGGCTTGGCCAAAAGTTCTTTACAGGTTTGAATGTTTCTTACATCAGCACTGGACACCAGGCGTCAGACCATGTAAGAAATTGCAACTGTTCTGAAGACGCCTGATCACATACCTACCAGATTCTGTCTGCATTCAAGCCCACCAGCTCAGCCCCCAAATCCACTGATGACAAAGTTTCCCACCAGCGACTGCATAGAAGGATGAAACTCCAACTCCGGAGTGCTGCCATCATCGACCCAATGTCACCTTGGCTGGGGTCTGTGTGGCTCTTCCCTTTGGATGTCCCATCCCTCTTCCCCTTTCCCTAAATAAAATCAATGTTCTTTTTTTTTTAAATTCTTTATTGTTGCAAGTGTTGCATATGTCTCTTTTTCCCCCCCCATTGATCTCTCCCAGCCCACCCCCCGCCCCTCCAACCTAGGCCTTTACCCTCTATCGTCTGTGTCCATTGGTTAAGTTTATAAGCATAGAAATTCTTTGGCTGATCTCTTACCCTCCCCCACCCAAATCAATTTTCTTTAATTACCATCTGAAATGGCTATTTAGCCTGCCGGCGAGCACCATCCACCATGTACACCTTTTATCATATACACAATAACATATACATTTAGCAACATGTTACATTGCTAAATATATTGTTGGTAATTGGGTAAAGGGGAAAATATGTCATAGTCCCATCTTGTTTTTAGCACTAATTTTGAAAATGGATAAAATAATTATATCTTTCACCATTTTAATCTTGATTGCTTTTACTAATAAATCTTTTAAGATTCATTTCATGACTCTTGCTGCAGCCTTCATTATACTCTCAAAATGCATGAGGCTTTATGGGAATTGATGCAATTAAGCCAAACTGTTTCCGAGGGAAAGTAGATGCAATTTGGCTAGTTTGATGTTAATTAGGTTATAAGACAAGCATTTTTCATACTTGACAGTTTCACCTTGAATAAGCTGTATCATTAGCTGAAAAGTTTGGGCAAAAACAAAATTGAAACACATAACAACACCACCAAAAGGCATTTTATCGAAAAACTTCATGGAAATGAAAAATGTTTACATTTTCCCCAAAGTTTGAATATATCAGGTAAACATGGTACATCTCATGGTGGGGTTGGGGGGAGGTCAACTTCAAAGTCATTTGATGTCTTGGTAAAACCTGTTTGGTATATTTCCCCAAAACTGAAAAATTAAGAAAAAGAAAAAAGGACAAGGTAAGCAAATCCTTTGACAAGTCAGGTGGTTTTCTATTCTTTGCTTTCAACAAAATTGGAGGTCCTAATTGAATAGTCACCTCACAGATCATCAAATCTAATTTTTTGAGATGAAGAATTGAGTGACATTGCTACAATAAAACTCTGTCCACGGGTACAGTACTTGTTTACATGAACAGGGTTTCTGAAGGCATACAGCTATAGAAACTGACAATGGGATTAATTGATGTACAACTCTTCCCATTCTGGCAATGACATCACCCACAGAAGAATGAATTTTCTAAAGCATCTAGAGGCCTGGTGCACGAATTCATGCATGGGTGGGGTCCCTCTGGGTGGCCTGTGGGGATTGGGCTGAAACCTGTAGTCCAATGCCTCCTGCAGCTTCTACCTGCACCTGATGGCTCATGCTGGCCTCACTGTGCGTGCTGAGGGTTTGTGCCCAATTAGTCCTTATTGGGAGAGGCTCCTGCTGCCACAGCATTGATCACTAACTGTGAGTCCTGTATCTGGCACCCTTCTGAGGGGAGTGGCCTGCAGGATCAGGCTGAAACCGGCTCTCCAACATCCCCAGAGGGGTCTCGGATTGTGAGAGGGCGCAGGCTGGGCCAAGGACCCCACTGGTGCAAGATCAGTCTTGAGAGGGACCATGGGAGGGCTCCAGGGCATGTCCAACCCATCTGGCATAGTCTTGATGAATGGGACCACAGCAGCAAGCTAACCTACCGGACAGAGTGTCTGCCCCTGGTGGTCAGTGCACATCATAGCGAGCCATTGAGTAGCCTTAGCATATCTAATAAAAGAGTAATATGCAAATTAACTACCACTCCGCTACACCCATAAGTCATGCCCACAAGCCATGCCTACAAGCCAATCAGGAGCAAGTATGCAAAGTAACCCAACCAAGATGGCTGTAGCCACAAAGAGAGCAGGAGGGAGGCTTGGGTTTCCCTGATGATGGAGGAAGCCAAGCTTTTCACACACCCTGGCCAGCCCAGGCCTCTGCTTAAGGCTACAAAGTTTCAATTGTAGAAAATAAAGAAATCCCAGATACCAGGGCCTCCGCTTGGGTGGGGTGGGGGGGGTGTGGGTGGCCTGCAAACCACCACAGGCCCCTCTCCCAGGCTGCCCCACACCTCAAGGAAACCCCCACCCTGATCCTGGACACCCTTCATGGCAAACCAGATGGCCCCCACCCATGCACCAGGCCTCTATCCCATCTAATAAGAGTAATATGCAGACTGACCATCACTCCAACACACAAGATCTGCCCCCATGTGGTCAAAGATCCTGCCCCCATGTAGACACAAGATGGCCACCACAAGATGGCCAGCAGGGGAGGGCAGTTGAGAGGGACCAGGTCTGCAAGGGAGGCAGTTGTGGGAGATCAGGCCAGCAAGGGAGGACAATTGGGAGGGACCAGGCCTAAAAGGGAGGGCAGTTAGGGGTGACCAGGCTGGCAGAGGAGGGAAGTTGGGGCCAAACAGGCTGGCAGGGGAGAAGTTAGACATCAATCAGGCTGGCAGAGTGGTTAGAGGGTGATCAGGCAGAAACGGTTAGGGGCAGTCAGGAAGGCAGGCAGGTAAGCAGTTGGGAGCCAGCAGTCCTGTATTGTGAGAGGGATGTCTGACTGCCCGTTTCAGACATCCCTCGAGGGGTTCCAGATTGGAGAGGGTGCAGGCTGGACTGAGGGACACCACCCCCCATGCACAAATTTTGTGGACTGGGCCTCTAGTAATTAGCATGTTATGCTTTGATTGTTTGAACAGTCCACGGGTCACCTGACCATCAGACACTTAGCATAGTAGGCTTTTATTTTTTTAGATACCATCCACTTTACCAAGATGCATTTTCTTTTTCAAAAGGTTTTCATTGATTTTAGAGAGGGAGAGCAAAGGAAAGAAACATGAATGATGAGAGAGAATCATTGATCAGCTGCATCCAGCCCGCCCTGCCCCCTCCATTGGGGATCCAGCTTAAAAGCCCAGCATGGGTCCTGACTGGGAAGCAAACCACGATCTCCTGACTCAACCACTGAACCACACCAGCTGGGCAAGATGCATTTTCCAACACACTTTGCATTCTACTCCATAGTTATGAAAACAGGCAATATTTATTTTGCTTTAATTGTGTGTTAATATTTTAAAGACAATAGCCCAGAATCGCGATTAGTTGTCTCTGTAACCTTCAGCAACTTAGCTCATAGCTTTGGGCCTCAATTTCCTGCTTTTTGAGTTGAGAGTAGAGTTGCTACAAAGATTGAGATGATGCAGGTCAAAGCTCTTGACGCCAAGCTGGTATACAGTGCATGCTATGCAAGCGTGACCTGCTCCAATTAGAGGAATCAAAAGCAAAGCCCTTAAAACTAACAGCCTGTGGGTTCATTTTCACACCGGCAGGGAGACGGTGCTGGAGGGAAGGGGTCCAGCTGGCTGGCACAATGGGAGTAGGAAGGGATGGGACCCAGGACCAGGAGGATGGAGTGGGGATCAGGCAGGAGGCCCCTGGAGCTCCCTGCTTGCAGGAAAACTGGGCTGGATCCTGAAAACGAGGGTTTGGGGAGAGGTCAGAGCCGCAGTTCCACGTGCAGTTCGCCTTAGAAAGGCCCAGGGACCTCGACTGCTCCGTGAGACCGGAGTAAAGCACCAGGCCAGCGCCTGCCCCCCCCCCCCCCCCCCCCCCCCCCCCCCCGGACAGCTCCACGGGTGGAAGGGCCGCTCGCCGAGCACTGAGCTCCGCGCCGCCGCTCCCTACGCAGCGCGGCCGCGCGAGTGCGCCTGTGCGGCGGCGGCCGGAACTGGCCCCGCGCGGCTTCCGTCGCCGCCCCTCCGTCACCGGGATCGCCGCCTTCTGCTCCCTTCCCAAGGTTCCCTTTCACTTCCGGGGTCGCCGTGGGTCCGCTGGTCCTGTAACAACATCCCGTGGGCCTCGCTCGGGCAGCGGGACCGGTGCAACCGCCGCCCGCCCGGAGCGCCGCCGCCATGGCCACCAACCCGCAGCCGCAGCCGCCGCCCGCGCCGCCGCCGCCCCCGCCGCAGCCGCAGCCGCCGCCGCCGCCGCCCGGCCCCGGGACCGGCCCCGGCGCGGGCGGGCCGGGCGGCGCGGGCGCCGGCGCGGGGGACCCTCAGCTCGTGGCCATGATCGTGAACCATCTCAAGAGCCAGGGCCTCTTCGACCAGTTCCGCAGGGACTGCCTGGCCGACGTGGACACGAAGGTTCGGGGCGCGCGGGCGCGGGAGGGGAGGGGAGGGGAGGGGAGGGGAGGCGAGGGTCCCGCCCGGGCCGCCTTCCCGGCGGTGTCCCGCGTGCGTGCACCGCGGACCGGCCGCGCCTCTGCCTCCCCGGCGGCGGCCCCTCCGCGTGGGGCTCCCCCGGTTCCCGGGCAGCCGCGCCGGGCGCTCATTCATTCGCCCGCCGGCTCCGGGGTTCAGCGCGCCCGCCGGGGGCTGAGCGCCTGCTGCGCGGCTTAGGCGCCGGGGTAGACCCGCGAGCGAGACTCCCTGTTCGTGCGGGGGGGACACGTTTGGAAAAGCTAAGCAGCGCTTTCACCCCCGGTTCATGTTTTCGTCGCGGTTTACTTAGTCTCCGCGCTCCTCTCCTGGAGCGTTCTGGGCGGGAAGGGTGGGCTCTTTGTCCTTTGGGGAAGTTAAGTGGTTGTGAATCGGATTGTGTGTAGGGTGCATTGCTGGATGGATGATTGGGGGGCGGGTGGGGTAAAGAGGTACAAAGGTAGAGCTGAACAGCGGCAAGATGGGTTGGGGAGATGGGAATTTGAGTGCCTATCAAGGACTGTCTGATGGGGTAACAGGCCAGGTCACTTCCCCATAATGAGGAGTTTGAGGAGTTTGGGCATGGATGGGGAGACCCGAGCCATCCAGTGGGAAAAAAAGGAGGAGAGGTGCCAGCTGACAATCCAGTGGAGGAAGGGCAGGCAGGAAAGAGGAGTTCAGGAGAGGGATGAGGAGAGGGGAAAGGTATGCAAAGCGCTTCCCTGGACAAAGGGGGTTGCACCGGGGGGAGGGGGGGGGCCCACAACGACACGGACATGATTTAACACCAAATGTCAGCGTGGAGGGGTGTTAGCAGGAACCAGGTAGCCAATCGCACCTGGCTCTGCAAAGGAAGAGCGGGGTCACCGAGAGGAGCTTGGTGGGAGTATCGGAATACTGGAAACAGTTGGAAAATTGTTGCGTTTTTCTTTCTTGGTTTGCTACAAGACAGAGCATGGTCTTGTGTGTGGGTTGGGGGAGGGTGGTTGGTTTTGGCCTAGATCTGGTTGTGTCCATCCGGTAGTTTTGATGGGGTGAGGGTTTTCTCATGGCGTGCTCAGCTGTTCTGAGGAACCCCGTTTCTTTGAGAAAAGGGTGTCTGCAGCAACGCCGGCCAGTTAATCCGTCCCTGCAACGTTGGGGTGAGCTGCACAGGTCTGCGGTGTCCTCTGGGAAAAGCTTGGCGGAAATCTGGGCACGTCTTTTCCTATAGGGACCCTGGCCCCCTATGCAGACCCTGAGGACAGGGTGCCTTCTCAGGCAATGGACTTTTTGCACAACAGATGACTAAATCTACTTAGGATGTTTATCTCTGCAGGAAGTATATCGTTTTTCGCACTTTGTTTTAGGGAATATGCACAGCCACCTTTTTGAGAAGAATGCCCATTACCTTTTTTGTTTTGTTTTGTTTTAAATGGGATAAGATTAGGTAGGGATGGCCAAATAAACGTTACCCAGATAAAGCGAGTTAGTTGTGTCTGCAAATTTCACTCTGCAGTTCCCAGAAACCTACAGATGTGTGTGGTTGTGTATGCAAATGGAAAATATACTTAGGGTACCTGTATAAGGCTCAGCTTTTTCTTTACTCCATCTCCACTAAACTTGACTACTCAGTGTCTGTAATATTGCCACAGATCCTCTCAAAGTGAAGCTTGAAGCCTGAATTCCTATCTTGGGGGAAGGAGGGAAGCACAGTTTCTCAGACAAGGTCCTGATGAAAGCTAGGACCTTCTCCCCAGAAAAATGCACACATACACATTAAAGTGCTGTTTTTCACAATTCAAACATGGTTGACAGTTGGCAATTTCATGTTTCTCAACCTAATACGTAATTTCCGGAAGTGTGCAGGGACCACGGAACAAGGTCCCTGTTTTGCTGTTTGATGCTAGAAAAGAGAGGAGCTGAAATGATACCCCCTCCCAACAGAGTATGGTCTTGTGTTCTCCCTTTTCTCTCAAAAAGAGTAAGTTTGAACATAACAAAAGGTTTTCTTTTACATGAGCTTAATATTCCTGCCAATTTGCCAAGTGGGCCAAAGCAGAAGTAAGGGTCCCTATTCATGCAAAGGAGCATCATTTTAATGGGTCCTGGGTGTCATCTGTAAGGAACACCTTAGAACTTAGACCACTTGCGGGATGAAGCTTTTGCTAACTGAACCCCGAAGACTGGCTTTGCCAAGCTCTGGCCTGTAGTGTATAGCGTGTGGGGTGTCCCTCACATGCAGAGTTAAGGATCAGGACATTTGACACCTGCCAGGTGCTCTCCAAGAGCAATACTACCATCCGGCCCAGCGTGTTCAGAGAGAGATAAGAAGCTCCAAAGTTGGCTGCCACTCCAGGGGACCCTAGGACCCGTCAAACTGTGTTGGGGTCTTGGATGGTCCAGCTAAGAGAGACCTGAGGATGAGATTACATCAGTCCTCTCACCCTCCTCTGCTCAGACTCCCAGTCCAGCTCCCTGGAGTAATTAAGCTAGGCGGTCACAAAGCCAGCCTGACCGCTTGGCATTGATTGGTAACTGGTGAAAATGAGGAGGGAAGGTCAGTGTCCATCATGCTGTCCCAGGCAGGGAGCTCTCATCAAACAAGTAAATATGTCACCTCTCTCCCAGTAAAGTAATAGGCCAGTTTTTAGATACTTTCTGAGGTGTGAATGACTCCTGGCCACTGTGATTATTGTCTGTTTTGTTTTGTTTGTTTTTTCCTTAGATTTGAAAGGAGTACTAAAGACAAAAATATAGAAATGTACTCACCCTATAGATATTTATGGTCTGCCAGGCACTGTTTTAGATGCCCGAGCTATATTAGTGAACACAAGGTCCCTGCTCTTACAGAGCTTATGCCACACAGAAAAGAACAGATGTCATTGGGCCTATGGAAGCAGTAAGGCAGGGTGAGGCTGGAAGGACTGATTTGTCTTGAGTTCAGGGGAGATTTCAAATAAGATGAAATTTTGAGCCATCACAGGAGGAGCCTGGCGGCTAGCTGTCTGAGCTGGGCATTCCAGGTAGAGGCCACAGCGAGTGCATGAAGCCTCAGGCAGAAACTATCTGAAGAAAGTGACTGGAGCTGAGTGGGGGTGACCCTCCCTCCTTCCTCAGCTGTGCTGGCCTGTGGGCCTTTTAAAGAGTTTGCTGCCGAAACCGGCTTGGCTCAGTGGATAGAGCGTCGGCCTGGGACTAAAAAGTCCCAGGTTCTTTTAGTCCCAGGTTCGATTCCGGTCAAGGGCATGTACCTTATTTGCGGGCACATCCCCAGTAGGGGGTGTGCGGGAGGCAGCTGATCGATGTTTCTCTCATCGATGTTTCTGACTCTCTATCCCTCTCCCTTCCTCTCTGTAAAAAAATCAATAAAATATATATATATATATTTTAAAAGAGTTTGCCTTTTACCTGAGCTGAGAAGCCTTTGGCAGGTTTGCGTAAGAAGAACGTGCTTGCTCTGGCTTCCATCTTAGATGGATTGGCCATGTGTAATGATTAATGGTGTCTACTTTCACACTAGGCTGTGATCTGGTTTGGACAATAAATTACATGGTTGCCCTAATTTTAAGAGATATGCATTACCTGCTATAAGGAAAATAGACTTCAGGTGGGCAAGGGTAGACACAGGGAGATGAGATGAGTTACTGTAATCCAGACAGGAGACGAAAATGCATCAGCATTACAGCAGGAAAGATAGTGGAAGTGGTCAGATCCTGATGTCTTGTGATGCTAGTGCTGACAGTATCGGCTAATGGTTTATTTAGATTTGCAGTGGAAGAGAAGGGGGGAGTCAAAAATGACTCCAGGGCTCTCTGGAATGGGAAGAAGAAACAGCAAAAAGTTCCCAGAAGTATAATGGAATCCTTATGTCTGGATTCACCAGGCTAATTTTTACTGACAGGAGAACTGGGAACAAGGAAAATTACCTGTGTGGTTCAGATTTGCGCGTGTTATGGGGCAACTAGAGTGCTAAATGCATTGTGATTTTTTTGTTTTTAGCCTAATATTTTTGAGATTTGGGAATACTGGGAAGAAAAGTATGTTTTACAGTTCTGCTGAAAATTGAGAGAACGAATTCATTTATTCAGTTCACGTTAATTGTGAATAAATAGAGAGGAACATGAGAAATGATCATGGGATTTAAATGGGAATTAGCAGAAGCCTGCAAACTGGAAGGGATGCAAGGTCATCACCAAGGGATGGCACCTTCAGCATCCCTGTTGGAGTTGGTGACCCATCTCACAACCTCATTTTAATTGCTTATCTGCCAAGCAGGGTAATAAGCTTCCTGAACACACGTACCCTTCAGCGGGAGTTTAATATCCCCCTCCCCAAAATACAGTGCAGTGCAAGAGCTGCTGAGACGATAGACATCTAGAAAGTATAGGAGACGGGAAGAATGAGTGGGCGGGCCTCATGGGGCTTCCGTTGGGTGTCAGGATGACTGTACAGATTAGGGTGAGTTCTGAAGGTGAGAAGTTTGCCAACTGGACAAGTAGAGGGAATGAATGGTAGATGAGGCTGCACGGTTTTGTTTCTGGAGGCACTCAAATCTATCCGCATTAAAGCCACTGAAAAGAAGGACAGGAAGAATGTGGGTGATAGAGAACAACTAGGAATGGAGTGCGTGGTCCTGCTTGAGTGGATGAGAACTTCCAAACATCCCTGCCAGGCAGGAGCAGCCTTCCCAGTAGAGATGGCATGGTATGTGCCCTCTCTGCTCTCCCTTACATGAGCGGTTGTCAGCCTCAGCAGTGTGGACATTTGGGGCTGGATGGTTCTTTGTTGTGTTGGGGGTTCCCCTGCACTGTAGGATGTTCAGCATCCCTGCCCTCTTCCCACTAGATGCCAGTAGCGGCTCCCCCATTTTTCTCCAGAGGTTGCCAAATGTTGCCTGGGGAGGGGGTGAGGAGTAGTCACTCCCAGCTGAGAGCCACTGCCTAACATTGAGTGTATTGCCTAGTTCCCATGGTTGCCCCTCCATAACTTCTCTCGGACCCATGCCTTTCAGCCCATTTCTGCCACTGTCCCGACCAGCGGGAGATCAACGTGGGGGCGAGGAGACACCTAGAAGGGAATGATAGAGGATAGGAGACGCGAAGAAATAGAGGCAAGACAGGGTTCTGATCAAGCCTCAAATTTTATTTGTTGCAGCCACAATATATGTACACAGGTTGTAGGGGGAAGTTGCCCCGGAGACATTCCAGGGCAGGGAGGGTTGTGTATCAGCAGGATGTGTCTGCAGGGGAGGATACAGCAGAGATTCTCCGGGGGCGGGCGAGTTATCACAACAGGTGTGCCTTGCTCAATGGCCAGATATGCTGCTAGGCATTTAGATTGTTTCTAGTTAACTGCCTTGTCACATGAGTTCTGGTAAGTCAGAAACTCAGTGTCTAAGATGGAGGTGTCTTTTAAGATATAGTCACTAATTCTTTTTTGGCTCCCGACATGCCACCCCGTTATGAACCTTCTCCTCTCTGTTGCATGCTCTTCTAGATATATTTAGTGTCTGTTCAATCACCAGAAAGCTCAGCCATCACATACCACTCTGCTCATATGTGCAGGGCTTACCATTCTCTGTCCCATAATTACAAACCTCTTAGGCAGGTACCCAAGTCCTTCCAGCCCCTGGCCCCAAACTGTCGCCTGCTTTTTTGTATTCTCTTTTTCATCCAAATTGGACTTAATAAGTTGGGTTGTAGGCCCAAACATCCCTACCTCATGTTTTCTCATCCACTGGCTCTTTGCTTTATTGTTGGGGGTGCCTGCAAGATGGCCTTCAAATTCCCAGCCGCATCAGGAACCTTGAAGGTTCAGCTCCAATGCCACATTCTCAGTGAATGCTTACTCCCTCATTTCCTCTCCCTCTCTTCTCGCCAAATCATCACCATTAACATTCATTGGTATCCATAGAAGATATGGATACCAATGAATGCTACATATAAGAGGTATGTTCTTGTCTACATATAAGAGGTATGTTCTTTCTCCTTTGTACTCACCGTATCTCCAAACAGAAACTATAAAACTCTGTTGCCATGTTGATGCGCTAAGAAATGTGAACACTGTTAAAGATACGTACTCACATTCTGAGACCATCAGTATTGTTACTGAATCACATTGGAAATTTTCAACATTTGTGTCTTTCCTTTTTCCTTTCTAGCCTGCCTATCAGAATCTGAGACAACGTGTTGACAACTTTGTTGCTAATCACTTAGCAACTCATACCTGGAGCCCCCACCTCAATAAGAACCAGCTACGAAACAACATTAGACAGCAAGTGCTCAAGTAAGTCCCAAAATTACAAAGTTCCAAGGCGGGCTTAAAAATGCCACAGTCTACTTTACCTGGAGACAGAGACATTCTGCATAAGTCTGTTTAGCTGGTGCTGATTTTGTGTAGTTTGGCACTTCCGTATTGTATTGTGATACTGTGTGATTTTAAAAGGCTCTGGTCTCTTCCCATCTCCACCGTCAATTTTAATAGTCAGATTTCTCCACAGCCCTTTGGAAATACTGAAGGAAGGGAATATTCATGTGACTTTAACCGTTTATTTTCACAACCATTTTCTTGGCCCTATAAAGAGAAGACTTTATTATTATTTTACAAATGAATACATTGAAAATCACTGAAATTAAGATATTTTTCCCTGGTTTTTGAAGCTGTATCTTCTATCTTCTTTTACAGTCTACCCCTTCCCCCTGCCCATTTTATCTGTTGTGTTTTGTGATTTTAACTATATTTTTGCGGTGGGCATTTTCTCTGTTTCCTGTGTCCATCACGGAAAACGACAGGTTCCTGAGTGGAGGAGCTGGGGATTAAGAAATTAGAGAAAGAAAGAGACATGGAGGCAGAAATAGATTCATCAAGCTCGGCGCTAGGTGGGCGCCACCTCTCTGATGGAGAAGCGGTCACACACACCCACTCACCACAGACAACACAGCACATTTATTGATTTCCAAAGCGGAAGTTTAAGGTCAAAAGGAGTTTCGATGTGCCCAGGTCCTATTCATCAAGAACTGGGTAAGTTCCTCATTTTTTGGTACAAGGATGAGATTTATCATATCAAGACCTGGGTAAGTCAAGGTCCTATTTGTTCCTCATTGCAAGCCCATGGATAAAGATAAGAAATCAGTACTGATAACAGGACTCTGCCAGTGCCCTCTGGCTCAGCTGATAAGAATTAAAAGAATGTCCATGTGCCTTCTCTGGCTGCTCTCAACATATTTTGGTGTTACTATTGCCAAAAAAAAAAAACAAGAAAAGTACATCTAGACCTGCCAGCCATTTTTGGTTGAACATAAGATAAAGGGAGTGAAAAGAGATGAAATTTTTAGAAGGACCAAATAGTCATATTCCCCAGAAAAGCAAATTTGCAATATTATCTTGTTCTTAAATATAAATATTTGCCTTCTATCCCTACGTCAGCCCCCGAAAAAGGTGACTTAAGTTATCTTCCTCCCTTGACAGATATTTATATTCAAGCACATCATTTAGAATGAAATCTTGCTTGAAAACAGTTGAGCAGATCGCTTTTATACCTGCCTCCCATGAATTCCCTCCTGCCCCATGGGAACCTGGCCAGCCTTCCTAGCGTGCTCCCCAGCTGATAGCTGTCACCACAGGAAGCCCTGCATGCACAGCTCGCACTGACTGCAAGGCCCATTTAGCCCCGGGTAACCCGAGAACCAGGAGCCTGACTCCTGTCTCCAGGGAAGAAGGGAAGAGAGAAATTCAACAGTAACTCTGTTGTCTGCATTTTAAAAGATGTTTGAGGAACCTGTAAAGAGTCCAAATGAGATCAAAAGATGCCATTAGAGGCTGCATAGCAACACCTGGGGGGAAAAGGGAAAGCCTTTCTTGAAAAAGATGAGACTGAAGGGGGTCTGTTGGGTTGACTGGCCTAACAGTTGACTCATTTCCAGGCAGTTAGGAGAACAGGAGCCAAGAAAGCAGTGGGTTATTGGAGGCAAGCTTCCCCAGTGTCCCTCACACGGACACAGCGCCTTGCCGAATACGGAGTGCTTTCACGCAGCAATCTACATAGCCACCACCCTTCCGACAATGACTACATTTCTTTAAAGCACATTCCCTTTCTTTGTCTTAAGGTTGAGACTAAATGGAAGGCCAGTTTCCTGGAATTGCATTTACTCCCTAGCATACCAAACCTGTAAAATAGGGAAGCAGCCGTTTAGTTGGTCCTTACGGGAACTAAACTCAGTCTCACTCATGTAAGACCAGGCACTTACCATTCTTGCTATACCGCTGCGAGATGATGTTTCCATAGAATTGGTGTCTGGTGAGGGGTGTGGGGCACATCGGGAAGGGGTTCTGTGCTGTCTAAAGTTAGTACAGGAGCACTCTGCTGGTGGGTGACAAGGGGAAGGAGCTGTCTCTTGGATAAGTTAGTACTTTCCAGCTGTTTTATATGTAACTAGAGGCCTGGTGCATGAAAATTCATGCAGTGGAGGGGTGAGTCCCTCAACTTGGCCTTCCCCCTCTCACAGTCCGGGAGCCCTCAGGGGTGGGAGGTGACCTGGTGATCAGAGGGAGGCAATGCCTCATCACACCTCTGCTGCTGCCACTGCCGGCAGCACAAGTCTTGGCTGGCCCTGATTACCTGAGCCTCGGGCGGCCCTGGGCAGCTGGGCAGCCGACATCTGAGGCTTTCCTACACCTCAGGCATTGCCTAGACAGCTGTCATCTAAAGCGTGCCCGCGCCTACAGCCGACCCCGGGTGGCTGAGGGGACTGGGGGACTCTGGAGGCAGGCCCGGTTGAGGGGACTGGGTACTGCTATCATGTGGCTGTGGGTGCCCCCATCTTTGTGATAGAGTGAGGATCAATTAGCATATTCCCTCTATTAGATAGAATACATTTTCTTATTTAAATTCTATTGGTAAAATTATGTTACTGATAACATTTTAAAGCTTACTGAAAGAGACTAACTATTTAGTTGTGTCTAGCTAATGGTATAGGGATGAACTGGCCACCATTAATACAATTTCAAACCATTTTTCATCCTTATAGTTCCAGAAACACTCAGTTGACTGTTATGTTGAACCATCTACAATTGCCATTTTTGTAGGACAACAACAGTCTACTATCAGCAATTTGGGATGGTTCAATTTAATAGCAAATCTGCAGACTCAGTACAGGGAAAACTTATTTTATCTATATATTCATTTGTACAACAATATAAAAATGCTGGATGCTCAGAAATAATTATCTTAATTGAACAGGATTTAAAAGGAAGACAAGGAAATAATTTTAACCAGGACAGTGCCAGCTGCTAGCATTTCGCTTTGTCCTTGAATCTAGAGTGTGGCTTCCTTTTAGTGAGGCAGCTGTCTAAGGCCATGCCTCCAGAGTGAGCCCACTGGGAAGGGTGGGGTCATAAGCGCTGGCCTACAAACTTATTTACGGTCAGAGCTGACCACTGTGAGAGTGGACTAAAATGGACAACGGACCAGAAAATAGGCAAACAGACAAGCAATAATTTGGGATGGGTGGTTTTTATTTTTTATTGTATGCCTTTATACTTATGCCTTAAATCAAAGCATCTTTATGATTGCTTGTCCTTGTTTTTTCCCCCACCTGCTACATTTTAAAGTCACCTCTGAGCTGCATTGCAGGATTTACAATTTTTTATCTTAGAACTTGAAAAAGCAGGTTACCTACTTTGTGTAGGGTTGACTCATTTTTCTCTCTGGCCCACATATGTAGCATTATAGTATCATAAGGCTGCAAGGTGCCTCAGGAAATGAAAATCGTATTTATCCTCCACTCTAGACAGGGCTGTACTTGGATCACCATTTGAGTGGTCAGGAGAGTCCCCCTCATTCTGCAGAGAGAGCCCGAGGTCTAGAAGCTGGAAAGGACCAGCACCTGCACTCTTCTGACACTATCCAGGGAACTTCTCAAGCTCTTAATATATATATATATATTTTTAATATGTTTTTAATTGGTTTTAGAGAAGAAGGAAGAAGGAGAGAGAGAGAGAAACATCAATGATGGGAAAGAATCATTGATTGGCTGCACGCCCCCTACTGACAATTGAGCCTGCAATCCAGGCATGTGCCCTGGGTCAACGCTCAACCAATGAGCGTCGGGCTCAAGCTCTTTTTTAAGAAGAAAACAGGTTTAAGTATATTTCTCAAAAATAAATTTACATCCTCTTATTTTGCTAACATGCCCTTATGATTTTCTGCACATTTGGAACTTAGTTGCCCTGTTTGCTCTTTTGTCTCTTGTCAGTGGTATTTCTTTAAGCTTTTTATTCTCAACTCAAATGTCTTCTCCATGGTGAAGCATTGCCCCGTTATCTCCACTATGTCTCATAAATCCGTGTTCCACTCTTTCCTTGCAGTATATGGTGTGCCTGGTGCCTGTCGCCTTGTATTTTAATTGTTTATGTCTGTCTCCTCATGAGAAAAAGGACCAGGTCTGGCTTGCAGCAGCCCAGTGGCCAGCAGGGTGCCTGTTAGTGTAGAAGACACTCATTCTTGTTGAATGAATAAATCACCCAGTTTTTTATAGCAAGAAGATAGTAAAAAGAAAGAAAAAAATCCTAAGTTTTATTTTTGTTCTAAAAGTTGTTGATTTTTTGTAAGTTTGATGAAATTACACTTTGTAATTTTCTTCCATTTGCCTGGAGACTCAAATATTTATAAAAGTCTTACATTTTTCTGCTTAAAGATAAAGGTGCAGAGTCCATTGATGTATTTTATATCCAGAACCGAGCTTTAGGGATTATTTATTCCTCTGGGGTTGGAGTAAATAAGTATCATCTGTAAACCTGGGTTCTAGATAGTGTGCTGTGTCTAGTTTTGTTTAGTTTGCTTCAGTGGTTATAGTGACAACAGTGGTGAAGAATTTAGAGATTTTCAAGATGGTATATCCAGATGCCATTGTTATCCTGTGGAACTTGTCATTGCCTATTCTTTCTCTACATAGGAGTACAGATTGGGAAAATTTAAGGTTGGAAAGAGACTGTTTTACCTAAAAATAATTAGTGCAATTATATACTAGAGGCCCTGTGCACAAAATTCACACCTTGAGTCCAGCCTGCACCCTCTCCAATCTGGGACCTCTCAGGGGATGTCTGACTGCCAGGATCAGACCTAAACTGGCAGTAGGACATCCCTCTCACAATCCAGGACCACTGGCTCCTATCAGCTCACTTGCCTGCCTGCCTGATTACTCCTAACTGCCCTCCCTGCCAGATTGATAACCCCTAACCACCTCTACCTGCCAGCCTGATCGCCCCTAACTGCCCCCTCCTGCTGGCTTGGTCGCCCCCAACTGCCCCTTCCTGGCCTGGTCACCCCTAACTGCCCCCCCCCCCTCCTCTAGCCTTGTCACCCCTTACTGCCCCTCCTGCTGGCCTGGTAGTCCCCAACTGCCCCCAGCCCCTGCTGGCCTGGTTCCCCTACTCAGCCTGCTATTCAGTCGTTTGGTCATCCCTCACTAACCCCCCCTGCCAGCCTTGTCGCCCCACACAGCCTGTGTTCAATTGTCCGTCTGGTTTTTTTGGTCATGACAGCCCCTGGCTATTTATATATTAGGATATATACTATATATAGAGGCCCAGTGTATGAAATTTGTGCACTGGGGGCGGGAGAAGGGGAGTCCCGGAGCCCAGCCTGCACCCCTTGCAGTCTGGGACCTCTCAGGGAATGTTCACCTGCCAGCTTAGGGGTTCAGGCCTAAGCTGGCAGTCATACATCCCTCTCTCACAGTCTGGGACCCCGTGCTCCTTACCGCTCTGCTCGCTGCCCCTTAGCACCACCACTGCTAAGCTCATCAGCTATGAGCCCGGCTTCTAGCTGAGTGGGGCTCCCCCTGTGGCGCACACTGACCACCAGGGGATAGCTCCTGCATTGTGCATCTGCCCCCTGTAGTCAGTGCACATCACAGCCACTGGTCATTCTGCTATTTGGTCAGTTTGCATATCAGGGTTTTATTATGTAAGATAATAATGAAATATTACCCCAATATATATATATCTTTAACCTTTCTGTAAATTATCTTGTATTTCAGATCAGGAATGTTGGAGTCTGGCATCGACCGAATTATTTCTCAAGTTGTGGATCCAAAAATTAACCACACGTTCAGACCTCAGGTGGAGAAAGCTGTGCATGAGTTTCTGGCCACGCTAAACCACAAGGAGGAAGCGGGGGGTAGTGTGACCCCTGAGGAGGAGAAGCCGGACTCTGCTGTCAGCACACAAGGTGCATCACTTTTCCTCTTGAACTGAGTGTCAGTTTACGGGTATTTGGGCGTTAATTTTATTTTATGTATTTATTTTTTAGATATATTTTTATTGATTTCAGAGAGAAAGGGAGAGGGAGAGAGAGAGAGAAACATTAATGATGAGAGAAAACCATTGATCGGCTGCCTCCTACATGACTCCCACTGGGGATCAAGCCCACAACCTGGGCATGTGCCCTGGACTTGAATTGAACTCGGAACCTTTTGAGCTCTACCCACTGAGCTAAACTGGCGAGGGCTGGATATTTGGGTTTTTAAATCATCTATTTGGCACAATAGTAAAATTGTATTATTTCAAATACCACCCAGTGTCCTTAACTGGCTTACATTTTTTGCCTTAATACAAAATATTAGGCACTTTAGAGATGTATTCAGGGTATATGTATATTTCAACAGGGAATAATTAAAATAATTAGAGAAGATACTATTGTTCTGGAGCTAGGCTGTTCTCAGGTTTGCATGGTGACTTTCTGAGATACTGTAGTAGAGAAGCAGAGAGGCAGAGTGTGCCTGATAACGGCACTGGTGCCCGAAAGGCTACAGGCATATGAACGGTCTGCACAGCATGGGCATCAGACTAAGGTGGCAGTGGCATGTAGCGTTGATTCAGCCAGGGGGTTGACTTTCTGTATAAATTGATTCTAAAACTTGTCTTTCCCTCCAGGTGCCCCTGCTCCTGGGCCCAGTGCCAATGTGGCCAATGATGCCATGTCCATCTTGGAAACCATCACTTCTCTCAACCAAGAAGCTACTGCTGCCAGGGCCTCCACAGAAACATCAAACCCTAAGGGTGGTGAGCGGGCATCCAAAAGGCTGCCGTCCCAGCCGAGCACTGACACCAGTGCTGAGAAGGAGAGAATTGCAGAAGACGGGGCTGATAAAGACAAGTCCATGCCAGACTCTGTGGGCGAAGGACAGGAACCGGCCCCTAGGTCTGAAGAATGTAGTGATCTCCCTGGTCCAGCTGAAGAAACTAAAAATCACACAAAGGAGAGTAGCAGTTCAGTTCTGCTAAATAAAGATGTTCAACAGGAAAGCAGTGACCAAAAAAATAAGTCAGCAGACAAAGGTGAAAAGAAACCGGACAGCAATGAAAAAGGAGAAAGAAAGAAAGAAAAGAAGGAAAAGACTGATAAGAAATTTGATCACTCAAAAAGGAGTAAAGATACACAAAAAGCCAAAGAGGAAAAGCAAACAAAGGATAAAGAAGCAGAGGGCACAAAAGTTCCTTCAGAAAAGAACAGTAATAAAGCCAAAGCCATGGAAGGGACAAAAGAAGGTACAAACTTGCAAAAATATATAACAGTTTAAAGAATAAACAGTGTTCACGAGGCGATACCAAATTTGCCTTCAAATTTTAATAAATTTGATTCTTTTTTTTTTTAGAGAGAGAGAGAGAGAGGGAGGAAGGGAGAGAGAGAGAAAGAAAGAATCATTGATCAGCTGCCTCCTGTACACCTCCTACTGGGGATTGAGCTCTCAACACAGGCATGTGCTCTGCCCGGGAATCAAACCAGCAACCTCTCAGTGCAGGAGACAATGCTCAACCATTAAGCCATGCTGGCCAGGACAATAAATTTGATTCTTATATTTCAAAAGCCTGGGAACATATCCACTTTGCTAAAAAAAGAACGATAACATTTGTGTATTTATGTTCTATACTAGTGTTCAGTTTGACAAAGTAAATGAGCAAAGAGGATCTAAACCTTTTAATTCAACTCATAATTTATTATCGTACATTAATTCAGGCAACTTAATTCATAGTTATATATCTTCATCTTTAAAATATCACATAGTCAATGTATTAATTACTTAAAGTTTACTTTTGTTTCTATCACATCATAAGTTAATACTTCCATTATTTTTTCTGGATAATAGTTTGCCTTTGTATTTTCTGGAAACAGCTCTATCTTTTTTGATATTGGTTATGAGAGATTTTTATTTCTAAAGTTGAAGAAAGTCTTTGAAATGGATCCGAAGAAGGAAATCTTAAGTATAATTTGGGAATTGGGTGCTGAGTGTGTTCCTGTAACGCAATGATTTACCTTCTGTGTGTGTGGTTTTTTTTTTTGCTTGTTTGTTTTTTGGTCTCCTTGAAGATTGCTCTGCAGTAGATTCTGACGTGGATGGACTGACGGACATTACGGTTAGCTCTGTCCATACCAGTGACCTCTCGTCCTTTGAAGAAGACACTGAAGAGGAGGTTGTAATGTCCGATAGCATGGAAGAAGGAGAGATTACGTCAGATGGTAAAGCATTTTACTTAATAATGCCTCTGTGAAGCTTCCGCCGAACGTTTTGTGTGTATTCACATGGCTATCTCGTGAAAGACTGTGTGGTAGAGTGGCCAGAGCATGGGGCTTTGTAGTTGGAAGATTGGTTTCTGAGTCCCAGCTCCGAGGTTTTCTGTCTGAGCAAGCTTGGTAAGTTCCTGAATCTCAACAAGCCTGGGTTCCCCACTTCTTACCTCCATTCCCTGGGGTGATTATACAAATTAGATGAGATGGTATATATGAAGATGTGTGTGTACTCAGGTGTGTGTGTGCGACATTTGGGGAGTACTGTCCCCAAGATTCCCATCACTTCTGACATCAGTTGCAAGTTTGGGGTTTCCAAGATCACCCTTGGGTTTGGCAATTTGCTAAAAGGACTCAGTACTCCCTGAAATCTGTGAAGCTTGGTTACAGGTTATTACAGTAAGGGACACCGATTAACCTCAGCCAAGAGAAGAGGGCTTAGGCCATAGTCCAGGAAAGTTCCACACACGGCGCTTCCACTTCCTGTGGAGTTGTGGACAGCATTACCTTCTCAGCATTGATGTCTGACAGTGCACTCAGGTCACTACCAACCGGGGAAGCCCACCCAAGTCTTGATGTCCAACATTTCTGTGGGGCTTCCTCAAAGAAGCACAGTTACCTCCTAGGTGTCTGGTCTCAGTCTCTAGCCCCTCTGGATGTCCAGCTGATGCCCCATGACCTAAAGCCCCCACCCTAAGTCATATTCTTAGATGATTTGGCTTGACACCAGACTCCTAGGCGACCAAAACTCGGGCCTGGTGTTCCAGAGGCGTGGAGATGACCTCCCAGAAGCCAAGGGCAAAGCCTGGGCCTCCCTTTACTGTACAGTTGGTTTTTCAGTAACCCTTACTAAGTACTTACTGTATTCCTGGCCCTGGGCTAAGTTATTACTCTATTGTGTGTAATAACATCTGTGGTCCTCACAACCACCCTTGGAAGGTAGACTGAGGGACATGTCTCGTCCAGGGTGAGCGCCAGAGCCTGTCTCAGACCTGCATCTGTTTCTAACCAACTCTGTGTGCTGCTCTTGACCACGCGATTTAATTCTCCTCATGATTTCTTTAAAAATCAAAAACACTGAATATTATTTGCATCTGTCTGTAGATAGCATGTAAATTTGATGCTGGTTTTGGGATGGAAAATCAGAGAAAAAAGTAGACGCTTTCAGTGCTGCAGATCTATTTTTTAATTCTAGATGCTTTGTTGTTGTTTTTCAAGTTTTTTCCTGGACAGAGCTATATTTTGGGATCCAGAAGGAAAAAAGAGAGCTATTTTGAGAGTTCCCAGTGGTAGGAAAGGAAAACCTTGTTCCCAAGTTTCCTTCTTGCTGTGTTCCCAGAAAGCTGATTTGCCTCCTGTAGTGGAGGGTGTCAGTGTCTGCTTGGTGGGGTTAGTGTGTGATTGTTGCATCCTCCTTAGGGAGCACTCACAGGTGGGCAAGGCGCAGCTTCCAGTGCCTCTGTCCAGTTGGACAGTGGTGAAGCATTCGTGTCAAGGCTACTGACACTCAAATAAGGATTCACTGTTTTTCAAGAAAACATGAATAACCATAAGCTTTAACTTCTCCTTACCGTCCTCCTTTATGTTTGAAAAGCTGACCGTTAAGAAATAAGTGAAGATATGGATTCCAGCTTTTATAAATTTCTCATACTGGTATTTCCTCTATTGGACCTGCAAATACACTTGAGCTACCTGAATACTGCTTTTGCTGCTTGATGTTGATCAAGCATAATGTTGGATTTATTGCTAATTCACAGGGCTTTCCTTTCTGTTGACTTTCTTCCAGATGAAGAGAAGAACAAACAGAATAAAACAAAACCTCCACCCTGTGAGTCCCGTGAAGGAAAACCTAAGAGTGTACGGCAGGCTTACGTTCACAAGCCATTCCTTTACTCCAAGTATTACAGCGATTCCGATGACGAGCTCACGGTAGAACAGCGGCGGCAGTCCATTGTGAGTCATGTTCCATCTGTCGTTATTTTCACATGTTAAATAGGGTTGAGAAATGACTTGTCTGGGTGCAGGGTAGTGAGCATACGAATCAGCAGCATACAGGTTCTGCCTTCAGGCACCTTGTTATTACACTAGAGCCAGTGGTCGGCAAACTCATTAGTCAACAGAGCCAAATATCAGCAGCACAACGATTGAAATTTCTTTTGAGAGCCAAATTTTTTCAACTTAAACTTCTTCTAATGCCACTTCTTCAAGATAGACTCACCTAGGCCGTGGTATTTTCTGAAAGAGCCACACGCAAGGGGCCGAAGAGCCACATCTGGCTTGCGAGCCACAGTTTGCCGACCGCTGCACTAGACAGAATGGACACAAACACATGACAGGTGTCCGTGTCATTGTGATTAATAGTGAAAACCTGGTGACAGCCTGGAGGTTTCACGGTGTGGAAATGTTTGACTCAAGTGTGAATCGAGCTTGGGGTGTAAAGTCATGAGTGTAATATTAAGAGGGAAGTACAGTCCACGTGTTTGCTGGGTGTGAAAGTACTTCTAATTATAAGACGTGTCATTGACAGCAGCTTTTTAGGAAAAAAACAACCGCTTTATCATACATGCTCATCAGTTTTACGATGACTTGAAATTTCAGAAACATTAAACTATGAAAGGTTGTGCATCTCCCAATGAGGAAGTACATTACGTAGAAAAATGATTTGGAGGATGTGCACTAAATGCTATTAGTGGCTTAACTGTTGAAAAGTTTCTTTGATCGGGAGTTAGCAAACTTTGAGACAGTGAGTTGTGGCTGGAAAGGGGTGGTAGGAGTAACACCACGACCGTATTCTCTCTGGCTTTAAAATTCAGTGGCAGAAAGTTCTACGTCCAAAACCCTCATCCTCGGAGTATAACCAGCAGTCGTATTTTCCATAGGACTAACCTGTCACTGGACTCTGCATTTTAATGAATAATCCAAAAATTAGAGAGACCTGCTATGCCTCCCTGATGCTCAGAGATATTTTCACTGCTGTCCTTTTAATTGAGGCAACCAGTTTATTAAACCACCATTGCTCAAAATGATAGCTTTCCCATTCTTTAAGCTAATGCTATTCTGAAGAGTAAGAAAAAGTGTTCACCTCTGTCTCTGTTATTCCAGTAGCTTCCAAATTGTGTAGTGCATGTCACTTTTGCAGAGCCCATTCATTTGTAAGAACATTTGAAGGAGAAACATTGTTTTTTTTCAGTGTTTTGTTTTTGCCTGATAATCAGAATAATTGTGAGTATGTTGTGGTTTTAGGCTAAAGAAAAAGAAGAGAGGCTTTTAAGAAGGCAAATTAATAGAGAAAAACTTGAAGAGAAACGAAAACAGAAAGCAGAAAAGACAAAGTCTTCAAAAGCTAAGAGTCCAGGTATAGGAGATGTTAACTTTAATATTATAAACTATCTTACATACTTTTTTAGTTCCTAGAAGTGTATAATACTTATGAGATATAATTATAAAATAAAGTTATCTACATTATATCTTAGTAAAGCTGTTATATTTTCAGTTGTGGAAGGGTTCTTTATTTTTTAATCTAATGTGTTTAGTCAAGTTTTTAAAATTATATTGCTGTTTCTATTATAGATTAAATATTCAGGTACCAACTTATACCACTCACATGTTAGCAATTTATTTCCCAGTGGCTGTGGAACGAATTATGGAAAATAGTTTGTTAATTAAGCTGTGCTGGTGATATTACCCTGTATTTGTATAAAATACAAATACATACACATAGGAGGTTGGGCAAAGATGGCTTAGAGCTGAGAGTACCTGAAACACAGTTTATTCTTGTATTACTATTCATTGTTGTATTATCGTTGTTGTTATTAATACTTCTGCCCATCCCTGCGTAAGCATTTGAAATAAAAGACAAGTCATCTCCCATCTAAAATATTATTTGTATTCCAGCACAACTTGATTTTAAAGCCTTTTTGCATTTTCACACTTATTAGAAAATTTTACTGAAAAATAATTATTACTACTGTTTAGAACTGTTATGAAATCCCTTATAGATTCCTTTCTTTCCTAGGCAAAAGTAGTGTGGATTTAGAAGAATCATCAGCAAAGAGTTTGGAACCTAAAGCCCCCAGAATTAAAGAAGTCCTTAAAGAACGGAAAGTTTTAGAGAAAAAAGTAGCCTTAAGCATAAAAAGAAAAAAAGATTCAAGGTATGTGTTTTACCCGGCCCTGGTCCCATTGCAGCATTCTCAGCATGCTTCCAGAAGCAAGGCATTGAAAGTGACAGCGAAGAGCCAGACTTCTGTGTGTATGTTGTTGCATGCTTGTTAAAGACCTCGGAGTTTCGTTTTTAGAATCCTAATTCAGTGTGCTAAAATCTATAATATTTCAAAGTGTTCACCTTTATAATCTCTGGGGTCCCGATCTTTTTGATAATCGGATGGAACCTTTGGACTTTCTCCCCAGAAAAATACGTATGAAATACATGTGAGTAAACAAACAGTTGTCCCTAGAGTTCCAGGGGCTTATGGGCGCTCTCGATGGACTCGGGAAGTGTCTCCCTTTTGAACATTCAGGAACCACTTACACTGATGGCCTTCATTTTCCCTTCTTTCCAGCAATTCTCTTCGCCAGTAGTCCATGCTTCTCCCCATAAACCAGAGGTCTGACCCAGATTCTTTTGTAATACCACATTATCAGAGTAGATTCTGTAAGAATTAGAAAGCTGAAGAGGTAGAGTGGCTCCAGTGTTAAGTGAGCCATGGGCTACCATTTGCTGTGCCATTAAGATGCAATCATGTGAATTTATTACGACTTCAGGACACCTAAATCAGTTATTTGCAAAACTCTGAGAGGAGTTAGCTCTCAGTTTGCTAATACCTCATTCCTATTGATCTGTACAAATAAGACTACCGTATTTACTAAAAAAATAAATTTTTAAAAAAATAGTAAGACTTTCAAAATGTAATTATAGATCATAACATTCAGTTTCAAGCAGCAATTCAGGAATTTCTGTGTTTGTTCTACTCCCTGTGTAAGTGTTCCACGTCACATTTGGATTGTGTTCTCTGTTGACTAAGAATAGCATTTCTTTTAAAAGCCTTTTTTTATTTAATATATTTTTATTGATTTCAGAGAGGAAGGGAGAGGGAGAGGGAGTGATGAGAGAGAACCATTGATCAGCTGCCTCCTGCATGAACCCCACTGGTGATTGAGACCCCAACCCAGGCATGTACCCTTGACCTGAATTGAACCCGAGACCTTTCAGTCCACAGGCCCATGCTCTTATCTGCTGAGCCAAACTGGCTAGGGCAAGAATAGCATTTCAGTTGAAACATAACAAGTCTGCATTTATGGATAAAGTGTTTATACAAAAGGGAAGCTAAGCGCTTTTTTTTTTTAACCTTCCTGAAAATTTCAAAGTTTATTTTGACATTTTCCCCCTACATAGGAATGTTGATGAGAATTCTAAAAAGAAACAGCAAGCAGAAGAAGATTCCAAAGAAACACTCAAAACAAGCGAGGTATGTCTAGATTAATAAGCCCATGTTCTATGCTCTTTTGTTAGATACTTCCATCCTTTGAAGTAATACTTAGAAATGCAATTGATCTTTTCCAAGTTAAATAAAAAATTCCTCACATTCTATTATGAATTCCCATTATGGTCTGAATTCCTCATTTTGGCAAGTTGATTCATGTGATCATTTATCTAGGTAGTATCTACTTTTCTATTCTCTCTTCCCACCCACTCCATTTCTTATATTGGTAAAAACAAAACTGCCAGTTACAGTAACATAGAAGAAAAGGGGAATAAACAAAACCCCTCCCCATAACAAAGCACCTGTTTTCATTCTCTTGTTTTTCGTCCACAAATACACATAATTTTGTAGTGTGTGTGTGTATTCTTGCAAAATGTTTTTAACATTCACTCTTACTTATTTTATATATTTACTGGTAGCATAGTGTAGATTGACAGATAGGCCATAATGTAATCATTTCCTTATAGTCAAGCACTTAGATGTTTCTGAGATTTAACCATTTTAAATTGTAAAAATATGGGCAATGAATACATTTGTTCTCCTTTTTGGATTATTTTCTTGGGATAAACTTTTGCTTTTATTTGTTTTAAATCCTTATTTATAATTCTATAGATGAGCTATCTTAACACTTCCCAGGGGGAAAACTAATAATTTAATAATTATTCACAGCCAGTAAGTAGTCTTGATTTCTTTATTTATAAATTTGAGGCATATTTAAGTATATTCTGGTATTTTAACGTCACTTTAAAAAATATTTAATTTTATTTTGTGATGAATTTCTTTGAGAAATGATCCCAAAATTTTATTCACATTTATTTGTTAGAACTTAGGTTAAAATTAGGTGGATGAAATCCCTTTTAGTTTTTTCTTTGAGGAGTTTAAATTTTAGAGTATTTTTTAAAACCTTGCTATCTCCTGGTCCCCGTATTAGTAGAAGCACATTAATCTTTGTGTTACGTTGTAAGGAGATGCCATGGTAAGCTGACCCAGAGGCACAGAAATCTGTCTGGGAACTTCAGCCCATCATTTAAAGAAGAACAGTTTCTGGTGTCTAAACTAAAACATTGGCAACTTTTATTTTAATGAAAACTTTTTAAATTGGCTCCAATATGCCTTTGGACTGAAAAGAATATTGGATTGTCATCCACTCATTTTATATTTACTAATGACCACTGGGCATTGGTGGACTGTAGTGACTGAGAGTTAAAGAAGGCCTACATGCATGGACAGCCCTGGAGAAGCAGCTAGTCTCTCTGAAGGTGCCTGCGGTGTAGGGGAAAGTATTATACTAGATTTTAGACTGAGATCCTCTGAATGCATTGCCCAGGTCTGAGCTTACTGAGTCCTGCTGGGTTCCAGTTTCTTCGTGCAAAAACGGAATTAATAATCCCAACCACAGGCTGCTTGCACAGACCAAGTAAGGTTTAAGATATGTGACCACTCAGCATATGAAATGCACTCAGGTGTTAAATTTGGTACAAAAATGGACTGTAGTATTTCTCATATTTGAACCTTTATCTTCTTGCAGCACTGTGAAAAGGAAAAGGTGTCTTCTTCCAAGGATTTGAAGCATGTTCACACAAAGAGTGAAGCAAGTAAAACTACTCGGAGGCTCTCGGAGTGTTTGCATTCAGCGGATGAAAGCAAAAATGAGTCCAGAGTGGAGAGAGAACACAAAAGGCGGACCTCCACTCCCGCGGTGGTGGAAGGGGCGCAGGAGGAGACGGACACGCGCGATGGGAAGAGGCAAGCAGAGCGTTCAGAAGCGGGTGCAGAAGAACCCCCGAAGCAGAAAGGCACCCTGAAAAGTGAAAAGCACGTCAGGAAGGAGGATTCTGAAACACAGCACGTGAAGAACCTCCCCAAAAAAGAGACAAAGGCCTCCAAGGAGAAGCCAGAGAAAGAGAAGACTGTGTCCGAAGACAAGGCATCTGTGAAGCATAAACACAAAGGGGAGAGTGCGTATAAGGCAGGCGATGAGACGGAGGCCCACGCCCCTGAGAAAGGGGCCAAAGGGGAGGACGGTGCTCAGAAGCAAAGCCAACAAGCCAGGCTCTCCACAGATGAGAAAGCTGAGCGGAAGAACAAGCACAGGAATGAAAGGAAATTGTCCATTTTGGGCAAAGATGGAAAGCCAGTTTCTGAATACATTATAAAAACAGATGAGAATGTGCGTAAGGAAAACAACAAAAAGGAGAAACACCCGTTGACTGAGAAAACGAAGGCAGAGCACAAATCGAGAAGGTCGGGTGATTCTAAAATTCAGAAAGAGTCTCTGAGCTCCAAGCAACATGGAACCCCATTACAGAGAAGAAGTGAAAGCTTTTCAGAGGATAAGGGTGACGTGGACTCAACTCATCTAGATAGCAGTTCAAAACCCGAAGAGGCTGTTCCCAAGGAGAAGCGAAGAACCAAGAGCTTGCAGGATGAAAGACCTGCGCCCAAGTCTAAATCCAAAAGTCAAAGCAAGCCGTTAAAAGTCGGTGACACCGAGTCACAAGAAGGCGTCCCGAGACACACAGCTGCATCCAAACCAGATAAGGAGAGGAGCACAGAAGACAGTGACCCAGACAGACAGCGCAAGTCGAAAGCCGAGGACAGATCCGAGGAGGCCAGTGCTGACCCTGCAGCCGAGGGTGTGGCCTCCTCGGCCCACGGCACCCAGAAGGACTCTATTCACCGAGCAAAGCCGCTGCCGGCCAAGGACAAGCACAAGGCAGAGAGGGAGTCAGGCTCTTCCCGACCGGAGAGGAGGTTATCAGATGGGCACAAGGGTCGAAACGCAAAGCACAGCAGTAAGGATGTGAGGAAGAAGGAAGAAAGCAAATCTGATGACAAGGATGGGAAAGAAGTTGACAGTAATCACGAAAAGGCCAGAGGGAGTAGCTCAGTCACAGAAAAGAAATTGAGCAGGAGGGCGTGTGAAAATCGAAGAGGCAGCTCAGCCCAAGAAATGGCCAAAGGAGAAGAGAAATCTGCAGCCAGTAGTTCCTCCTTTCAGAGACCAAAAAGAGGAGGTGATGCCACTCAGATTCCCGGGCAGGAACCGATGGAGACAGACATGGAGCCGGCCGCCGGGAACGTGCTGGAAGCATCGAAAGCCCCAGAGAGCAGCAGCAGCAGTGCTCAGCACGATCCTGGCCTTGAAAATGCGATGAAGCCAAAAGCCACAGCCACGGTCCTAAAGGATGAGCTCCGAACTTCCACAGGAGATGCAAAAGCTGTCCCCGCCTGCAAACCGGAACGTGGGACAGCTGCGGCTAATAATTCTGAAAAGCACACCAACCCTAAAAGTGCCGGGACCAAGAAAGCACACGGTCAGAGTGCTGTGTCCAAGCCGAGTCCTGGGGACAGGGATCCCCCTCCGCCAGGAGCCCCGGAGACCAGTGTGGACCCCGAGGCCGCTCACAGAACGGTGCCTCACGTCCCGGCAGAAAACGGCCGGGCACCGAAGACTGGGAAGCACCCGAGACCCACGGAGGAGCGAGCTGTTCAAGAACATTCCACAGATGTGGACCCATCACTGTCCTTAAGTCCTGTGACTGCTGGGCCTCAGAAACAGCCCCATGGCGCAGAGGCTCCTGCAGGCGACAGAAGGCCTGTTTCAGACGGCGGCTCGGGCAGCACCGGCCTGGGGGACCGCTCGGGGCCCCCTCAGCAGAGCCTGTCTGCGAGGGAATCAGAAGTCCCGAGGTCAAGTCACGGCAAAGAAGGCAGAGCACTTGCCGCACCAGATGTGCCAGCAAAAGGGAGCCTAGATAGCAAAAGGCACATTCCAGAAGGTTCCCAGGCCACCACACTGCATGGTAAACAAGGGAAAGCAAACATGTCTGTGGGTAGCAAGTTAACAGACATGACTGTGGGACATGAGAATATTAGCAAAGAAAGCAGCTCGGTGGACGAGGTCAGGAGAGAGAGTACCATGGCTACAGAGCCCACCTCCAAGCAGACTGTTAGAACTGGAGGAGAAAGCGCCAGAACGGATGGGCCGGCTGCTGTCCCCGGCAGGAGCATGCGCCCCGAAAAAGATGCTCAGACCGGTGAACTTCAGCACAGCAGAGGCCCGGGTGAAGTAGGACACCCGACAGCTGCTGCAAGAAGGAAGGAGAGCAGTGAGGTCGACACCAGTGCAGGAGGTGGCACCGTTTCACACCAGAGGAATCGGAAAGCTGAGGACGTGGCGAGGCCTTCTCTGGCCACCAGCACTGAAGGGAAGGACAAGGGCGTGACCTCGAGCCCAGTACACGCTGGGGCCGCCACCACCACTTCAGAAGCAGGCGACGGAGAGGGGGCATTGCCTTGCATGAGCATCGAGGCAGACAATGGCCTCACAGGGGCTCCCAGCGCCCACGCCCTGCCCACCGGGGCCCACGCCAGCCCGGGCACCGTGTTTGCAGCGGCGGAAGAAGGGGGGGCCGTGGTGACGGAGGGCTTCTCGGAGAGCGAGACGGTCCTCACCAGCACCAAGGAGGGGGAGAGCGGGGAGTGTGCGCTGGCCGGATCCGGAGAGCCAGCCGCGGGCCCGGCAGCTGCCCAGGCGGCCACGGCCAACGACAGCGTCAACAGCGCTACGACGGAAGAGAAGGACGATGCTGTGACCAGCGCCGGCTCCGAAGGGAAATGCGAAGGCTCTTCCAGCCGGGACTCGGAAAGAGCCGGGGGGCCTGTGACCTTCACCGGGGAAGGCGAGAGCGACGGGGCCGTGACCAGCGCTGGGACAGAGCTGCGAGAGCGATCCTTAAGCCATGGGGGGAGAGCTGTGAGGAGAGTGGGCCCCAAAAAGGAGCCCGAGGGGACTGTCACGTGTACGGGAGCAGAAAGGGGAAGCGAAGGCACAGCTGTGTGCGCGGGCACGGGAGCGGGGCCGCAGGAAGAGCGCCTGGTGACGGGCGCGGCAGAGGTCCTGGCGGACAATGACACCCCACCGGGAGCCGGTGTCCCCCGAGAGGGAGCGGGGTCTGTGAACGACGGGGTGGAGGGCGAGAGCGCCGTCACCAGCACGGGCATCACGGAAGACGCCGAGGGGCCGGCCAGCTGCACGGGCTCCGAGGAGGGCAGCGAGGGCCTGGCTCTGAGCTGTGAGTCCGAAGAGAACGGGCAGAGTGCCACGGGCAGCGCCGCAGCCAAAGAAGCCACCAACGTGCCCCTGGTCGCCGCCGGGCCCGGGGACGGCGAAGACATCGTCACCAGCACGGGTGCCAAAGAGGAGGACGAGGAAGGGGAGGGCGTGGTGACCAGCACTGGGAGAGGCAACGAGGTCGGGCCCGCCTCTGCCTGCACGGGGGTAGAGGAGGGCGAAGGGGTGCCCGTGTGTGAGAGCGCGGAGGAAGCGGACGCCCGGGTTGGGGCCGCCGTCAGCGCCCACGAAGGTAGCGTGGACAGCATGAGCGCCTCAGACCAGGAGGTGAAGGACACGGAGATCTGCTCCAGCGCGAAGGGGATCGTGGAAAGCAGCGTGACCAGCGTGGCTTCGGCGAAGGCCGGGGTGGCACTGGGGCCCGGTGCGTGTGAGGGGCCCATGACCAGCGCAGCTTCAGGCCAGAGCGATAGGAAAGAGCACGCCGAGGAGGCCGCTATCTCCACGGGCCTGGTGGGCGGCAGTCACGAGGGGCTGGTGTCTGCCGCAGGCCCAGAGCGGGAGGCTCATCGCACGTCGCCCAGGGAGAAAGAAGATGAAGGCGCCATCACCTCTGTGGACAGTGAGGAGTGTGATGGCCACGTGGCTGCCACCGCCAGCGACACCGTCACCAACCAGAGTCGGGGCATGGGCCTGGTGATTTCCACCAGCACGATGCGTGAGTGCCCCGCGCCGCTGAGCGCCAGGACAGACGGGGAGGGTCACCCGTATTCCCTGCGGGCCGAAGAGGGCGCGGAAGGCCCCAGGGTCAGCACGGAGGAGTTCGAGGCCCCCATGCCCAGTGCAACCTCGGAGGAGAGCCCCGTGGCCGCTGGGGGAGAGGAGGAGAAGGACGAATGCGCCATGATTTCCACCAGCCTCGTGGAGGAGTGCGAAGTGCCCGTCTCCAGCGCCAGCACCATCCTGGGTGCGGGGGGCCAGCAGCCCGTCACAGCGGTGGGAGGAAGAGCCCCCGGCCCCGTGCTGGTCACCGAGGACTTTGAGGTGCCCATGCCCAGCGCACCCACCAAGGCCGAGAGCCCCCTCGCCTCCACCAGCAAGGAGGAGAAGGACGAGTGCGCCCTCATCTCCACCAGCGTGGCCGAGGGCCGCGAGGCCTGCATGGCCGGGGTGCCCGCGGAGAGCGGAGGTGAGCAGCCGGGCACGGCCGTGGAGGAGAAGGACGGGAGCGCCGTCATCTCCACCAGCTCCGGGGAGGACTGCGAGGGCCCGGTGTCCAGTGCCATCGCTCCGGAGCACGTGGGCCCCTCGGCCGCGCCGGCGGAGGAGGTAAGCGACACCACGGTGATCTCCACCAGCACCTCCGAAGGCCGGGAAGCAGCCATGCGCGGGGCCGGGCCGCAGGATGAAGACCGGCCTGCTGACGCAGGGCTGGAGGATGGGAGCGAGGCCGCCCTCATCTCCACCAGCACGGCTGAACTGGGCCCCGCCGGCCTGGATGGGCATGGAGAGACTCCGCCGACCGCAGGCCACCCAGAAGGGCCAGGCGGCCGCTCTGCCGCAAAGATGAGCAAGTGTGAGGCCCCCACGCCCAGCCTCATTGCCGAGAACAACTGTCAGTGTCCCGGGCCACTCGAAGGAGGAAAAGCAGTGAGCCCAGAGGACGGGCGGGCCAGGGTGCCAGTCAGCACACCCTCCACAGGGGGAGGCCAGTCGGGGGAGAAGAGAATACCCTTGAGCCCCGAGGCAGAGACGGCAGGGGACAGCGGTACAGCCAGCCCTTCAGCAGGGGGGGACGTGGAGAAGAGTGCTGGCCAGCCTGCAAGCCTGAGACCAGAGCACACATCTGGGCAGACGGCTGAGGGCTCCTCCGTCAGTACCCGCGCTATGACAGCAGGGAAAGCTGGCCCTGAGATGGCTGAGGGCGGGCCACCGGGCACAGGCACTGCAGTGGAGCAGCCCTGTCCTCCTGCCCAGCGGGACCCTACCACCACCGCGTGTGTTCACAGCCAAGGGCCCGACGCCACTCCTGCCCGCTCCGTCCTTCCGTATGTCTGCAGCTCGGCTCTGCCAGCGGCCGAGTGTGAGCAGGACCTGCCCATCGAGAGTGCTCAGGCGCCGGCTGAGAACATGGGAGATGGCATGACGAAGCCATCCCAGAAGGAAGGAGCCCTCGCGGTCACCGATTCTCCTGGAGAAAATGTGGGTGACAAAGGTGAGAACCCCTCTAATGGCAAATTGTAGCATTTTACAGAGATGATTGTGCGTTGAATCCATTTACAGCAACCTTCCAAAACATGGTTTTGATTCCAGAATGGCACTAAATAATTTACCAGACGCAAGGGTCAAGTCTCTCCAAGAGGAACTTGTGTTCAGAAGCTCAGAGCCTCCATTTCTCATGGGGGCAGAGGCAGGAGGCCAGGGGGCTGGAAGTCACCCACGTTTAAGCCAGGGCCAGTTCTCATAGGTTACTAACCCGTCCTGACCTTCAGCTCAGGTTCCTTGTCCAACTGACGGACACCTTACGTCAGCCTGTGAAATCAGTATTCTCTTACCACCATTTTCCAGATGAGCAGACGGGATCATAGAACTTAGGTAACTTGCATGGTACTTAGGTGCCTTTTAGAAAACACTACCTCTGAAGCTCAGCTTTCTGTTATATAAAATAGGGATCCAGGTGGCTATTTAAAAACAATTGGGAATAAATGTCTCCACAAATAATACACCGCGTCCTTCTTTCTGAGCAGCCCTCCTAACAGCAAGAGACAATGTTACCGTCTCCACAAAAAATCTTAAATGACCCAGGCATTTCCTCGGGTAATTTCCATACATACTCCTTTTTCTCATTTTCTGTTGACTGCCAAAGAAAATGGCAAAGTGGTGGGTTGTGCTGGGTAAGAGCCTTCTGTTTCCTTTTGGTTCAGGATGTATTGTGCAAGCAAGTTCTTACATTGGTTTAATGGCTTTGACTTTCATTAGGCAGCGAAGAGTCTCCATCGTATGGCGTGGGAGGATTGGACTTGAAAGCCGGCTTGAAGACTGAGGTGCAGCTGCGCCAAGCTGTAAGTGGTGTCCATACCGTTTCCCCTGTGTGCACACAGACACGTAAGCTCTTTGTAGCTCTCATGTTGTCATTGAACTTAAGACACTTAAGTACAGTTAATGTTGCATCCTGTGGTGGAGAGCCAAAAGCTCTCCTGTATGTAGGGTCGTCATCATTCCATTTGCTCCAACCAGAAACCCGAGTCACCCACGTTTAAGCCAGGGCCAGTTCTCATAGGCTCCCTCCCAGAGTGTGACTGGAGTCCTTCTGTTTCTGGTTCTGCAGATGCTGCCCTAGTCTCCACCCCGCTTCAGTGGGTCCCTGCTAACTTCCTTCCTCTCCGGCCCCACTCCTCTGATTAGCACGGCCCTGGGCACTAGCTTGAGAAACATAAATTAGGTCATGCCATTACCCTGCTTAAGATTTCCAGTGGCTTCCCATCATACTTAGAAGAAACCTGGCTTCTCATGGCCTTTGTGGCTTACATACTTTAATCACTGTGTCCCCTTCTCAGCCTGCCCCCGAAGCGCCCTCCCAGCGAGCAGGGCAGTGGTAGGCAGGCAGGAGGGCTCGAAGGAGGACATGGGAGTTTGCATTGGAACTTAGCAAGTGGATACAAGTTCACCAGAGAAGGAACAGAAAGCGTGCCAGTCAGGGAAGTCAGTTGTAGGCACAGAGGGAGGGTCCGTGGTGCATGGGAGGTACTGCATTGGTTTGGAGGTCCCGGCCTCGTGAGGGAGCAGTGCCGGTCAGGAAGGGCCTCAGTGTTACTAAACTGGAGTTTTAATGTAAAGCAGTAGGAGAGCCATTGATGGGTGAAATATGAAATTAGATTGATTTTTCGTTTTCTGGTGTGTTTTTTTTGTTTGTTTGCTTGTAAAAGCCAACATGTATTCATTTTGAAATTTTGCACAGACTTGATGAAGTAGCGTTTTATATTGTTACAAAACTCTGGGTGTTTTTTTAATTCGTTTGAGGTTAGATTTGCCTTGTTATAAAAACCGCAGCTAAGTAATGTTTTATGGCAATTTGGACTTTTTAGACACTTGCACCACCGGTGGAAAAGACAGCTCCTGAAATTCCAGCACCATCAGAAATTCCACGTGGGAGAAAGCTGGCTGGACGAGGTAAGCTCCTTTTAGCAGGTGTTCTCGTCATCTTCCCTCGCATGTGGTTGTACCTTTCACTGAGGCTTAGCATCAGTAGCCAGCTCATCACAACTTGCTGACAGGATATATGAATTTGCTTTGCATGTTTTAAAATAGGTGAGAGAGAACCCTCTGATTTCATTTTTAACACAAACCTTTTCTTATGAAGTGCCATTTTCATAGGAGGTAACTTTATTTATTTTATTTTTTTAAGATATGTTGATTTTTTTTATAGAGAGGAAGGGAGAGAGATAGAGAGTTAGAAACATCGAGGAGAGAGAAACATCGACCAGCTGCCTCCCGCACACCTCCTACTGGGGATGTGCCCACAGCCCAGGTACATGCCCTTGATGGGACTCGAACCTGGGACCTTTCAGTCCGCAGGCCGACGCTCTATCCATTGAGCCAAACCAGTTAGGGCAGGAGGTAACTGTTTAAATGTGATAGCTCCAATCATGGCAAACAGAAAATTGCTTTGAGCAAGCTCTTGCTCCATCCCCAACATGTGTCTGTGCCTCCCTGCTCTCCTAGGGACTGGGGCTGTTATCACAGCTCATTTCCAAAAGGCAGGGCTGCTGCTGTGCATCCTCCTCTCTACTAGTAACCCCCTTGCTCTGGGCTTGGGAGCCCTGGCCGGGCACTGGTGACCACGCCTAAGCTGCTCCCCGCTTGCAGAGCCTTCCGGCCCGTCCGCACCGCAGTCGTCAGTGGCCACTGCAGTCTTAGGAGAGTGCGTGCCCAGCGTCAGGAAGGATTAGGGCAGCAACGCGCTCTGTGGTCCAGAATTTGTCTCCACTCAAAACTCATTGAGGACCCCGAAGAGCTTTGTTGTGTGGATTAGACCTCTTGACATTTACCAAGTAGAAAACTGAGCCCTGGCCAGTGTGGCGTCCTCCCATGCACTAGAAGGTTGTTGGTTCGATTCCCGGGGCACATCTAGGTTGCAGGTTTGATTTCCCAGTGGGGGGCTTGCAGGAGGCAGCTGATCGATCACACATCCATGTTTCTCTTTCCCTCTCCCTCTCCCTTCCTCTCTCTGTAAAAATAAATTTTAAAACAATATTTTTTTTTAAAAAAAAGAGGACACTTTGGAGATTCTGAAGTCCTTTGTTCCCACAGTTATTCCAGATCCCTGTGTCTGGGTATGGTTCAGTAAGAGATGTACTTACGTAAAAGGAAGTTGTTTGAAAGAAAAATGTGCGTTCTGTCATGTTGATTAGAAGCAGTAGACCTTGTACTTGAAGTTTCCAAAGAATATAAATAGACCTTTGCTGTTCAAGGGGAAACTTGAACAGCAAAGGTCTATTTGCTAACTTTTCATCTGATGACCCGGCTTCGCACTGCGGCCTGCCTGTCTGGAGGTCTCCCAAGCTGCTTCCGAGCTGCGGGGCTTTGGCCATGAGATCGGGGGTGAATTAGGGACACTGCCATTGCAGTCAAGACCGGCCGGCGGCTTTCATTGCTGTGGATGCTCTGATAGAACGTGGACCAGAGAGAGTACGTGGTCAGAGTTATATAAGCCACAGGCAGTCAGGCGCGTAGCATCTCAGCCCTGCCTAACTGCTCTGAGCATCTCTGAGTTGCTTCTTTGTGGTCCAGGCTCAGTACTCAGTTTCCTTATCTCTCACTGTCGTTTTGAACAGCTGACCAGCAGAGGGAGTCTGGGTCGGTGAACGCATCACTGAAGGTGAGTCGCTGTGGAGGCTGGTTTCCTCGTGGTTGGGTGGTTTTGGTTTAGTGTTTGAGAGCCATGGGGGAGGACTGCCCTGTGCATTACTTAGGAGACAGGAGGCGGGCGGTAGCATGCTCTCCTCTCGAGTTCACCTAACCAGAATATTTACTTGTCCTTTTTCACATCCCACTATATCCACTGGTATCATGAAATATAGTTATTTTCCTCAAAAACAAAAAAGCTGCTCTGAATTTCCAGCACTGAATCTAGGCCAGTGTCACGAAAGAAGACCGAGGAAGCAGAAGGCGGCCCAGATTGCTGAGACCAGGATGCTCACCTGGGGCGCCAATGTTAGGAAATGTCAGAGAACCAGCCTTCCTGTCGGTTCTTGCTGCGTTGCAAGCCGGTTTGTGGCAGTCATTAACAGCCTATTTTTGAGAACTCAAGTTGACTTTATATTTTAGTGCAGTCTTTCTGAAAATACCAAACTGTAATGGCCAGGTATACTTTTTTTTCACATGTGGCTCTCGTAATCCCTTTGGTGCCCTGAGATCATACCAGGAACGGACACTGTAAAACGCTTGTACACTGCAGGCGGCCACAATCTTTCCCCAGCCCCTGTGGCCTCAGGGGCCTCACCCCCTGGACACACCCCGTTCGGAGCTGGAAGCTCAGCACAGGCTGCTGAGAGAGAAGGAAGGAGAAGCCTATTGGTTTGGTTCAGCTGCAGAGCTAGCGGGCGGCGACTGTGAGCTCCCATCATGTGTCCTGTCCTCCCTCAGAGCTTTCCTCACTCCCTGAGTCCCCGCAGCTGCCTCCCCATCCAGGCACAGCCAGCCTTTCTAATTCTGGGTTTTTAACGTTTTAGGCTATTCTGAGACTTCCCCTCAGTAAAGAGAAACCAAAGGTGTAGTTGACAAGATTTGCCAAAGAGAAATCTTAGGACAGAACGACAGAATCCTTTAGCATTTTAAGTAAAGAAAAAAAAAAAAAAATCAAGAGGGATCATTGGATGGGAAGAAAAATCACAGAATTCAGGGATGTTTTCTTTCTTACTCTTTTGCGGTAATAATTTTAAAGGCAAGGGAGAATAAGCACATGAATGGTAATTGTTAATGGGGTCTTCCTCCAGAAGGTGCTCTGTGTTCTTGAACTTGGGGTGAAAATGAAAAGAGCACGCATCCCAGCCTCTCTCAGCGTCCCCACTAACTTTAGATCATGCACATCCCCTTTCCTTTCCCTCCTGCCTCCTAGACTTCTCAGATTATCCACAACTACAGTTTCCTATTGTATATTTAGGTGGAAAATTCAGGCTCAAGAACAAATGAAGACGTTCACAGCAAGTCTCAGAACAAAGAAGGTAAGTTAACTAATTTCCTAGGAGTCATTCTGCTAGCAGCTACAATGACACTTGTTAAATGCCTGGTGTGTCAGGCCCTGGGACAAGTATCCCTAGGTCTCCTCCCATTGAGTTGAGGTAATGCAGTCAGGTGAGGTGGAGTTGAGGAAACTGAGGCCTGAGAAGCCCAGGCTTAGTCAAGACCAGGCAGGCAGTGTGTAAGCGATGCCTGGAGCACTAGAACTTGCCAGTGACCTCATGGTGGGCTCCATTCCGTGCACATGCAGACATGCAGTTCCTGTGGTGTGCACGGCGGGAGAATTCTGAGCTGAGGGCTGGCGGGGTTAGTTCCTCATGGATGAGGGCTGTCTATGTCTGTCTCTCCCAGGGGTGGGGTTTCACTTCATGACGGAGAAGGCTGCCAACTCCAGAGGGATAATTCTCTTCTCCAACAGAACAGGGAGTTTGGTTTGTTCCTACCAATTTTGTTCATTCTGTATCTAGCAATGGGGAAAGTGGTCTTAATCCCCGCTAAAGCCATTTTATAGCGTGTTACACCATATTTCAAACCAGCAGAAGCAACAGTAATTATAAATCCATGTGCTCACCACCTAATTTTGTCATAACTTAAAATTTATATTTGCTTCAGATGCTTTTTTTTTCTTTTTTAACATTATGGATACAGTTGAATCTACATTATCCCATCCCAATCCCAGTGTCCTTTTATCTACCCCACAGAGACCCACCACTCTATTCACTGTATATGTTCTCATACACAGTGCGGAGCCTGTGGTGTGAGCGTTGGGAAGAGGGTATCTTGCAGAAACTCCACCACATTTCTTTGGCAGCACTGTGTTTGGAAAGGTTGTCATGTCCGTGTGTCTCCTCTAGTTACTTTCCTTCAGCTGCTCTGTAGTGTTCCGGGTGTGACTAGACCAGTTCTTACTTTTTGGCTTCATTAGGTTTTTAGTCACTTCTCCCATGACAAAGAGCTCCCCCATGTGTGATCCTGTCCCTGTTTCTGGGTACATGTGTAGTGAGTGCACCTATCCCTCTAGGTGTGGATTGCTGGGTCGGGAGACACTCCTCGGTTTGGCTGAATGTGCCAAAGTGTCCCCGGTGGTTTTTCAATTGTCACCCCGCACCTTCTCCCATGTGTGATTATCCTGTGGTTTGGGGGTTTGCTAACCTGGTGATTGAGAAGTGATGCCTGTTCTTGGGCACACATGCTGTGCTACTGCCGGGGCCAGGAGGGGGGCTGTGAAGTCAGGGATCCTCTTCCCTCCCTAAACCCCTCTGTCTCACATCTGGAAATGGAAGTCCCAGCTTCCCTGATGGTGTCCCGCCACGTCATCTGCAAAGTCTCCTCCTCTTTCCTTCCCCTGCCACACTCGGCCCTACGGTGGGTATTGGGATGAATAAATATTTAAAGTTGTTTTTCTTTTGTGCTTATTGCTCAGAGATCTCCAGTGCTAGAGATGACGGCACAGAAGCCAGACGGGGTCAAGGTGCTGAAGCAGATCCTACAGAGGTGGGTTTTCATAAGACACTTGGGGGTTTTGTGTTTTTATGGTGTTTTCACCCGTGCACAGAGGCTTCACTCTGTGTATATGTCACAGATAAAGGGGAGGGTTGAGAGTTCGCCATATCACTGTGATCTGTGTCTGCTCAGCTGGTGCCCAGGTAATTGGACAGACTCCGGGGTGTCTTGGATGTGTCCCTGTCACACACTCAAGAATCTCTTTTCATGTCCTGCCTCTCATCTGCCCTTTCATGGGCCACTGAGGGGAGAGAAACACCCGTTAATTCATGTTGTGCCTTTGATTGTCACGCATAGCCCGACTGCAGAGATTGCAACATGAGAAATGCTTTGTAAATGCATTTTAGAACTGTGTGAAGTATAGTGTGTAACCAGAGACAGATTTGATAGTTCATGTAGATTTACACTCGAATTGAAAAAAGAAAAGGCTCAAGCTAAATTAATCCAAATCTAGTTGCCAAAAGTGTTATTCCAGACTTTTTTTTTTTTTTTTTTTTTAATATATATTTTATTGATTTTACACAGAGAGAAATTGAGAGGGACAGAGAGTTAGAAACATCGATGAGAGAGAATCATTGATCAGCTGCCTCTTGCACACCCCCTACTGGGGATGTGCCCGCAACCAAGGTACATGCCCTCGACCGGAATCGAACCTGGGACCCCCCAGTCCGCAGGCCGACGCTCCATCCACTGAGCCAAACCAGTCCCGGCTATTCCAGACTTTTATATGAAATTATATGAAGGCTAGAAGTTAATGTGTCTTGTTTCAGTGGGCAGGATATAAATCCAAGTGTCTTTAACAGGGTCATTCTTAATTTCAGGTGGAGGAGAAGGAAAAGCATACACCTAGGAGGAAAAGGAAGAAGCACTACCCCTCTTCAGAAGACGAACTGGGTACTTAGAACACTCATGTCCTTGTTTCAGGCGTATTTGAAAATCATGTTTTTTTCACATGTGAAATAGTGGACCAAGAGCAGAAAATTCTAGAGGGTGGTACAGTTGACTCTTTAACAGAACAAGGGGTAGGGACCTTGACCACATACACAGTAGAAAATCTGAGTGCAACTTAGGTCAGCCCTACACATGCACAGATTCCCAAACAAGGATCAAAAACACAGTTGACCTTGAAGAACGTGGATTTGAATTGCCTGAGTTCACATGTGTTCGGGTTTTTAAATCAAGCCCGTGTGTTCATGGATGAATTGTAGTTGTTTACTTCCCAGCTCTTGAGTGTAGTTGGTTTCCAGACCAGCTTGACACCTGAAGGGTCTTTTATGGACTTGGTCCAGATTGTCTGCTGAGGAAGACCCTGCCCCTGGGACTCCTGCAGCCGGGGCCTGAGGCCCAGCCAGGCACCACCAAATTCCTTATTTTAGGTTGAAAACCAGTGCCCCACAGAGCTAGTGAAGCACTAAAGGTCCTAATGGCCCTCCTGCGCCTCGTTGGCTTCCTCCTGGTCTGTGGCAGTGCCGTCCAGCAGGAAAATGCCCTGTATTTGTTTTGTCTAGAACAGTGGCTATTGCCGTGCGCTTGAATGTGGTCCATGTAAATGAAAGATTGAATTTTTTATTGTGTTCAAACTTAATTACTTTAAATTTCAGGAGTCCCGTGTGGCCAGTGGCTACCATTACTGGACAGTGCAGAGATTTTTATACTTTAACTAGAGGCCTTGTGCACAAAATTTGTGCACAGATAGGGTCCCCAGGTCCTCCCTTCCATGGCTGCTGGCTCCCAGCCAGGGCTTTCCATTCCACACTGCTCCCTGCTGGTCAGCACATGTCATAGTGAGTGATTAACTCCCGGTCAAACTCCCATAGAGACACTTTGCACATTAGCCTTTTATATATAAAGATACCTGACACAAAGTACAAGTTCAGTAAACATCTATTTACATAAAAGGCTAAGTGACTAAACGTATGTCCGTCCATCAGACAGACCGACCAGCCGGTACGTATGACAGGAACTGGCAATTTATTTATTTATTTATTTATTTATTTATTTATTATTTTAAATATATTTTATTGATTTTGTACAGAGAGAAGGGAGAGAGATAGAAAGCCAGAAACATCGATGAGAGAGAGTCATCGATCAGCTGCCTCTTGCACACGCCCTACTGGGGATATGCCCGCAACCAAGGTACATGCCCTTGACCAGAATCGACCCGGGTCCCTTCAGTCCCCAAGCCGACGCTCTATCCATTGAGCCAAACTGGTCTTGGCGGAACTGGCAATTTAAAACTAAACCTTGACTAGCACATGCGCAAGGCCGACCTGCCAGTATATATGATGCACAATGGCAATTTAAAAATCCTATATAATAAAAGCCTGATATGCTAATTGTCCAGTTGGCCAGTCAGTCGTTCAACCAATCAAAGCATAATATGCTAATGATATTCTAAGGCCACTCAACTGCTCTCTATGACATGCACTGACCACCAGGAGGCACTCAACCAGTTGCTATGGTGTACACTGACCAACAGGGTGCAGATGCTCCAACTAGTAGGTTAGCATGCTGCTAAGGTCTAGCCAATCAAGTCTGAGCAAAACAGGCTGGACGCCCTGGAGCCATCCCACAGTCTCTCCCTGGCTGGCCAACTCCCGTGTCTCTCCCCTTCCCAATCATGCACCGGTGGGCTCCCTCGGCATGGTCTGTGCCCTCTTGTATTCTGGGACCCTTTAAGGGATGTTGGAGAGCCAGTTTTGGCCCAATCCCACAGGCCAGGCCAAAGGACCTGGTGTGTGAATTCATATACCGGCCTCCAGTATACATATAAAGCTTTTGCTGGTGCCAATTGCATGCATGTGTTTTGATATGTCATTGTCAATCGTGAAGTTGGTTGACACTTCTATTATAGAGAAAAGGCGAGTAGTGATATTAAAATGTTTCTTCTAATTAATTGCCTTTCAGTGTGCATGAATCCATGCACCAGGCCACTAGTTAAATAATATATGAGAAAAAATACATAAATACTTTGCTTTTTTTGATAGGAAACAACTATTTTATAATTATTCAGTTCATACTATATCTAGTTATTATCCATGGCAACATCCACATTCACAATAACAATGTGTTAGGTATTGTCACCATTTAATAAACAAAGAAAATAAGATCCTGAGAGATTCCCAGCCAGGCCCATGGTCTTCATCACTAACTGCACCTCATCAGAAACTCATTCAGGAAGTGGAGTATCCACATGCCCTCAGCCCTTTCCATAGAACTGCTGTGTTTGTGGTGACATCTGAGCGTTTGTGGATTTTTATATTAGTATTTTTTTTTTTTTTACTTTGCCAAGGCCAGTGTTCAGTGTTCAAATCACATGACACGCATACCTTTAGAATACCTAGCATCTCTGAAGCACACGCCCCGGAAAAAAGTCTCAGACTGTCCTAAAACAGAACCGAGTGTTTCATTTCCCATGTAGCTTTTCTCCCTTTGTGATTCTGTCCAAACTGATTTTCAGACGATAATTCAGATGCCCCGGATTCCAAAATAGAAGCAGCACGGAAGCAACGCTCTGAGGCTGAGCCACGGGATGCGAAGGTATTTTTCCGCACGCTGCATTAAACGTCAGGAGCGACCCCGTCACTGCAGCCTGAGCACGTATATAGTTTTCCTCCCAGTACCCTCTTCCTTTACGACTCTCTCATAATAACCACTGTATTAGCAGAGGTGTATTTTTTAGGCTCAAAAAAAGAAACAAAAGGTACACTTTATTTTTTTTTTAAATAATAAATTATATTTCATGTGCTTGTTATAAGATAGACACTACTAAAAATCCAAGTACAATTTTTTTATTTATTTCATTAAATTTATTGCAAGTTCCCGTTCTCTTGCATTTTCTCTTGAAAACACCAAGTCCAGGGTGAGGGAGAAGAGCGGTTTCCATTTTGCAGGGAGAAAACGGGCGGCTTTGGTGCTTTACACTTGAACCTTATCTCATGCCCTTCAGCCTTCAAAATTTGTGGCCTTTTTATACTTTCACTGGCAGCAACGTAGTTCCTTTTTAAAAGTTTACAACAGACTGTTCTAAAAGATCACTGGGGAATTGTTTTTTTAAAAAAAGGAAAACTTGGGAGGCTAAATAGAAGAGTTTGTAAAAGGCGTTTCTTGTTTTGTTCACTCCCGTGCAGGAAGAGAACACTGGGGATTCGGAAGAGGCATCTAAGACCAGTCCCAGCACGCGCTCCGCTACCGCGAAGGCCACGGAGGAGCGAGGTGAGGGCATCTGCTGGTTGAAATGTGCTGGGAGGAGACTAACCCATCAGGCAGCAGCATCTCGGGCCAGGCATCCCCGACAGAAAGCACCTGCTCCTCGCTCCCCTCGATCATCCTGGCACGTGCCTGCTTAGTATCCCGGGGCTTCATATCCATGGAGCATCGTTTCCGATTTGGGTCCTGTTCTACCCAAAGTGTGCTCCTTACCAGCTAACCAGAGCCTGGCTTCTTAACTGTGGGGGCCTGGGCCTGGGCCTGAGAGTGGAGTACGTGTGTGGCAGGGCCTGTGTGGTCCCCGAGGTGGGGTCGGCGGTGAGGCTGACCCAGGTCCCCCACTGACTGAGCTCTGCCGATTCTGCAGATGAGTACAGCGGTGGCGAAGCTGCTGGCGAGAAGACAGAGCAGAATGACGACGACAACACCAAGTCTCAGGAGGTGAGTGAGGACGTTTTTATACTTGTTCCCATTTACTCCAGGACTAAAAAAACAAATAAAATGCTGTAACCTCAATTTTCTTTTGAAGGAGTTGAAAGAAGTTGTGCCTTTTTATATAGTGCATTTTATCATTGTCATTTTGATTAATTGTGTTCTCTTCACCTTCATTTCATCCAAACATTTTTATGAGCCTATTTCTGTCCCAGCCGCACAGGGTCACCCAGAGCTGTCCTCACAGCCACGTCCAGTGCCGCACAAGCAGCTTAGCATGGCTGCCCACACAGCGGGGGCTGCTGCGCCCCGGCTCTGGGCGGGCAGAACGGGAGGAGCAGCCCGTGTGCGGGCCTGCGGGGTCCCACGGGACCAGGTTTTGAGGCCTGGCAGAGGCTCCTGGGGGACTCTGTCCATTCGGATTTGCAGAGAGCCCCATGGGGCACATAACCACAGTGGCCTGGGACAGGCCTTTGAGTCCAGGAAACAGCCTGAGCCCCCGCCAGGCCTTCTAAATAGCCATTGCCTACTTTGCCGGACATATATATATATATATATAGGAATTGATTTTTTACAGAGAGAAGGGAGAGAGAGGGAGAGTTAGAAGCATCGAGGAGAGAGAAACATCGATCAGCTGCCTCCTGCACACCCCCTACTGGGGATGTGCCCGCAACCAAGGTACGTGCCCTTGACCGGAATCGAACCAGGGACCCTTCAGTCCACAGGCCTCCGCTCTATCCACTGAGTCAAACCGGTTTTGGCTTGCCGGACTTTTTAATCATCCTTTGTTTTCTCATACTCTAAATGAGAAATTCAGTGGCCCCCTTTCTTCTTTATAAGGAATAACGTGTGGTCACAAGGGACTAGATTGGATCCGAAAGTAAATGGGTGTGCGTGTTTATTCAAAAGTGAAAGCTAACACCACGCGCCCACTGGCTCTGCCTCATTATCTCAGAATTCTCACAACCGAGAGTTCACGCTGCAGTGGCCAGCGTTGGAGGTGAGGGGGCGGCGCTGAGAAAAGAAGTTCTGAGCCCAGCGTCCTGTGTGTTTAAGTGACAGAGCCAGGATCGGAGACCTCCAGGGAGGACCCCAACTCTCTTTTTGAGAAGATGACATGTGATCTGTGTGATGGCAGATAAAATGAAGGTGTATTTCTTCCTCTCCCCTTAGGAAGACCAGCCGGTGGTCATCAAGAGGAAGAGAGGAAGACCTCGGAAACACCCCGTGGAAACAGCGTTAAAAACAAGTGGGTACTTGGTGTGTTTGTAGTTCACACAAGACATTTTCAAACTGATTTTCTAAGTGAGGTTTGTTTTTGCACTTTTCAGAAGAAGATGGCAAAGCAGATGCCGGCGTTGTCACTGTAAGTAATTGCAAAAGATGAGAACGCTTCACATTTGCTCTTGACCTAGAATGGGTGTGCCGCAGCGTCTAATATTCCAAACAACTTTATTCTTTAGCGGTATTGGAAAGCTTTAAAAGGCTTTCTTTTTTAAATATATTTTATTGGTTTTGTACAGAGAGGAAGAGAGAGAGAGAGATAGAAACATCGATGAGAGAGAGTCATTGATTAGCTGCCTCTTGCACACCCCTTACTGGGGATATGCCCACAACCAAGGTACATGCCCTTGACCAGAATCGAACCCAGGACCCTTCAGTCCCCAAGCCACGCTCTATCCATTGAGCCAAACCGGTCTCGGCTAAAAGGCTTTCTTAGGGAAAATATTGAATAACCTTTCAATTACTATCTTACTGCTAATATTTTCACTCAGCATTGTTGGTTCCTCAGTCTGCTTCCTTCCTCATGTGAGAGTTTAGTTATTAATACATAAAAGTTTTCTAGGCACTTACCTTCTGTGGCCACCCTTAATTCACTGTATCCAGATTTCACAGCGTGAGCGAGCTTTGGTGACAGCATCATCAGAAGGACAGACATGTCTGCTAAACTACAAAGGGCTGTGGGATTTAGCCATGACATGGGGCCAGCCATGTGGCCCTTTGAGAGTCCATTTCCTTGGGTATCATAGAATAATTGTAAGACAGCAGAACCAACGGGCCCATGTGAATGCATTTCCCAGTGAGCGAGCTGGCCAGGGGCGTTGGGAACTGTTCACAGTTTGCTGTGCTGCATGTCCTCCAGTCCCAGGGAGGAGGCTGTGGCAGCCCCGATAAAAGCATGGTGTCATGTTCGCTTGGTGTTCTTCATCCCCTGCAAAAAGTAGGACCCAAATGTCCTGTCTATTTAAATGGAGGTCCTACACCTTCTTTCTATGTGCTGATGACAAATGCTAACTTTGGTGTTTTGTTTAAATTTAGGTAGAACAGTCTCCTCCTGGCGGCAAACCGAAAGTAGTGCAAGCAGGTGTGTACCTATAGCGTTGCTCTCTGTGATATAACAAAGGCATGAGGCTGCTGCAGGAGTAGCTTTACAGTTTCATGGTTTCTCACTGGAGTGGGTGGCCTCCTTGGAGAAGACAGCTGTCCTTCAGCCGTGAGAGACTGTGCCTGTTGGCTTTCCCTGTGATTGGAGCCATTCTTGGTTTTAGAAGTCTGGGAAGCCTTCAGGGAAGAGCATGAAAGCAAGAAAAAGCAAACTAGGGAAGTCACTTTGCCATGTGCAAACCATAACTTACTGGGCATGTGTCCGGGAGAAATAAACCAGCCTCGGGGTGGGCACTATCAAGAGCCTATTCTCAGAAGAAGAATTTCTAAAGCAGTTTTTGCAGTGTCAAAGCCAGGATCCAAGAGATAAAATTGTTTCAAGTATCTGTGTCCTGGTTCCAACTGTTGATGGCAATTAGCTCCAGATGCTGGGATGATGGGCACATCCATATTTTTTGTTACTGTTGCCTACATTTTCCAGAATGTTTTACAATGTGTACATATTCATTTCATGGTCTAACAGTTTCACATAAAAACAAGAAGAGCCACTACAGGGTTTTGTAGGTTCAACACAGGCAAAAAGATGGGTGTGGCGGCTATTTTGGGTCAAATAAGCAGCATGGTCAAATCAGGAGGAGATGTATTCTGATCACCAAGGTCAAGCAAAAGGAGAATGTAAGTTTCTCCACATTTAACACGTATGATCTGTGGTCATACTTTAGTTTTTCTTATTTCTTGGAAGATTAATGTTTGTTTGTTTGCTTTTAAAGGGGGATTCTGCTTATGCTTGGCTTTTAACTAAGTTTTACTCACAATATAACAATATTTTAAGTCCATATAGCAAGGATTTTTATAACTCGAACGGCCTTTAAGGGGTCCAGTGTAAGCTGTGTGCTTGTGTTTGGGGTTGGTTAGCAGTGGTGGTGTGAATCGGGGTAATAATGAGCAGCTGAAAACAGGGTTCTTTGGGGGCCCTTTTCTCGATTCAGCTCTTCCAGGTGTGCTCATCTGTTGACTGCAGAGAGGGGGACTGCTACGGTCTCACTGATAAGTGTCTGGGTTGTGAGCGTCTTAGGAGGATCCTGTAATCCAGCTGTTGGAAGATAGTGTATTGAACTCTAAGCTGCATTTTTCTTACCAAGACACAGGAAGTTATAATTCCTACAGAAAGCAAAAACATGAAGAATAGGCATATATAAACCAATAGTGTCTTAAAATGTTTTTTTTTTTAATTTTCTTTTTAGTTACCATAATGTAAGTACTTGGAGTCAAAGAATTCCAGCTATCATCCAGTTTCTCAGTTTTGTGATGAACAAATGGCTTAAATGAAGTTACTGGAGCCTCTGTTTGCTTGTATTTTTTTTTTTTTTTTTTTTCTAACTATATAATGGGACTGTAATATTTACAGAGTTACATTGAGCTTCCAGTGGAGTCTGCAATCCTGACCCCAGTTCCTGGTGCTCTTGGGGGCCGCTCCCTGGCCCCGCCTCCTCCTTTTCTGGGTTCAGAGCCTGTGAGCTGAGAGGGACCGTAAAGGTGATCTAACCCCATTCCTCCTCCCGAGGCTCCAGGAATTTCGGTGATTTGCCCAGATCACAGAGCTTAAACCTTCAGTGTCATGACTCACATCCCGATGTGCCAGCTATTCCGGCTCAAACAGACATGATGAATTGTGTGAAAATCCATTCATGAGCACTGGTGTGTTCATAGGCCACAGGCCATGTAAATGTTACGCTGATGAAGTACTAACACCGAGGTTTCCCTTTTCTTGAAGATGAGTCCAGCAAAGAATCAGGTGCCCAGCAAGAAAAGAGCGGAAGCAACGTAAGTGCTGCTTTTCTTACCAAGACGCGGCCTTTCGAGATACACTCAGTGCATGCTCAGCAGCCACCCTTTCACCTCTAACGTAACTGCTTCTAGGAGGACGGCGACGAGAAGACCGTGGCAGGTGCCCGGCGGCGAGGGAGGAAGCCCAAGCGTTCGCTCACCTCGTCCGACGATGCCGGTACGTTCCCCGCGAGTGCTCGGCTGCAGAGCCGCCTCATCTCAGCGCCGCCCTCCGAGTTTCTCTCCGGGTGAGAAAATTCCGTGGGGCACAGCTGGTATTCCCGTTACATAAATACGTGTGAAGCGGCTCTAATCCCGTGTCAGAAGTGCTACGTCCCAGATGCTCTGGGTCCGCGTGAAGTGTGCACGAGCGCTGGCTGCGCACTGCCTAAGTAAACTCTCCCGGATGTGTTTGAGGCTAAGCTAAACAATTGAGAGTCGTCAGTGCCGAAACCCAGAGGAAATGGAAATCCACTCCTGCCTGCAGGTCCCTACACCCCATGCTCTGAGCCTTGGGCCCCGGCTGGGGAAGCACATAGGGAATCGTACAATCCAGGTGCGACTCTTCTCTTTGAGCAGAATCCTCGGAACCGGAAAGGAAACGCCAGAAGTCGGTTTCCGAAGCCACCGAGGACAGGAAAGACCAGGAGTCAGAAGAGGAGGAGGAAGAGGAAGAGGAAGAGGAAGAGCCCTTGGGGGCCACCACCAGGTCTGCCGCCAGGGCAGAGGCCCAGAGGTAACGGGCTCACTTAGCTCCCAGAGGCCTTTGCATGCCAGGGAGCCCGTGCTCTCAGTCCCTGATGTTTCATTCTCCTTGGGGAACCTGTTTCCAGCTTCCACCGTTACTGGGATCACAGTCTTTGCTAGGCTTCAGAGACCTGTTTGGTGGAAGCCTTTACACGTTCTTTATCGACTGCGTGTAGGTGTCAGATACGCTGATCACCAGGGTGAAAACAGCACAGGCAGCAGCTTCGCTCCAACGAGCGAGGCCGGGGCCTCCCAACCAGTCTCCGGAAAAGGCTGCTCACTGGAAATTGCCCACATGAGACCATTGTCAGCTTACTTAACTAGTCATGTCATGTTTCCCAAACCCTGGTCTGGCCAGAGGCCTCTGGGAAATAGTACGACCGTCCAGTGTGCTTGCACAATCCCTTATTTCTCCATTTCATTTAACATCAGGGGTTTAGCATACTGCTGAAGGCTTGGCATACTGCTGTTACCACCAGTGTTCCCCGCCCCACCACCCTTTTCAGAAATGTTACGTCACTTTGTAGTTTAATAGTTTTTCTGAAGTAGGACTCTTTTCTATTTGTAATGTGATACACAGCTGTTAATTTTGCTACCATCATTTGTAATCTCCTTATCCAAGATCAAAAGGTTCAGGAACATTTATCTCTAGAACATCACTTACTAGCACCTGCCAGGGGAGTGCCGTATGTTTACATAGAGGCTGAAAATCAACCCACTTAACCATTCCTCCCAGTTTGTCATTAGCAGCCACTGGGCCTTGGGGTAACCCTCAGAGACTCGGATTATCGAGCTGGAAACTTGAGATTCCCAAGTGGCTGGGTGGGAGGTGGTCCTGTGTGTGTGTTAGGGGGGTAGCTCAGATCAATAGAAGACACGTCACAGACTCTAGATCAGGAGAGAGTGAGTGGGGGAGCCCAGCGCCCTGCGTCAGGTGCAGGACACGCCAGCACCACCGCCTCCCTCTCAGTTGGGCTCCCTCAGCAAGTCCCACTGGCCACCTCAGCGTCTTCAGTGAGTCTCTCAGAATAGCTGTTGTGTCTGCCTTTTAAATTCCCTCTTCAGAAGTTTATGTCCCCTGACTTAGCGGAGCATGCCTTACATGCGCCTATGGTTCAGGTGCCTTGGCAGGGTGATGGGTTCCGGGCACCCCATCTTCACAGTCCCCGCGTCCACACAGATTCTCAGGGTGCGGAGGAGTCCTGGCGGGTCAGTACTGCTGAGAGCTGGGTATCAGGCGCTGCGCCAGCGGCTTAGCAGCCGGTTTTCTCTTTTGGGCGCTCAGGTCAGAAACCTTCCTTCCATCTTTTCAAAGAACTCCCAAGTCCTTCAGAGCAGCTCCTCTGACCTCTCACCCCTGCCTGACTCTTGTCCCCTGCAGGTCGAAGGCACAGCTGTCCCCTTCCACCAAGCGCAAGAGGGAGGCCAGCCCGCCCGGGGCCCGCACGCGAGGCCAGCAGCAGAGAGTGGAGGAGGCGCCCGGGAAGAAGGCAAAGCGGTAATGTGCCAGCCTCACCGTCAGCGGGCTTTCCCCGGGAAAGGACATGCATGTGCAAGCTTTCCTCCTCATGTTTTAAACAGCTTTATAAACTATTGTCCATAGAAGGTATTATGTACATTCACTTCCGCTAAAGAAAAATAAGTTTACTTTGTATCTGAACTCAAGACAAAGGAGCTGTATATTTTAACATTGGACGCTGGGCTTTCCCCACGGGGCACACCACCAACCCACCTCCACCCATCGGACACCAGGCCGCCCTCGGGTCCCCTGTGTACAGTATACAAACATGTAAAAATAGGTTGTATTTTACTCCGCGTATGATGCTAATCAATGAACACTTTATTTATTTTACAGAGAAAACTTACCTGTGAACTTTACTATATATCTGTTTATTATTTTATTACTTTTTTAATTAGTGGAAGGGTTTTAACGGCTGTGCAGGCATTAGATGTGCTTTAGGACTGCCTGCCCCGTCCGTACCTGTCGCAGCCTGGCCTGGCATGAGCCCCGGAGCCTCCGCGCATGCGGCCAGCCAAGTAGCTTAGCGCACGAGCAGTGGCGGCCCGGTGTTTTAGGATGTAGCGTGTTTTAGACGATCCTCGCATCCGACTTCACCACCAGCCCACGGGCGGGAAGCGCTCTGGTCCCGGCGGTGATGCGGCAGCCACCCCTCCGCCCGTGGCCGTGGCCGTGGCCGTGGCCCTGGCCCTGGCCCTGGCCCTCGCCCTGGCCCTGGCCCTCTGCCGCCCCCAGAGGGCCTGTTCTCTCCCATCACCTTATCACCTTGACCGGAAGGGAAACGCTTGGAAGATCAGGTCACTGCTATCATGATCCAGGATTTTGTGTTGTTTCCTGCACAGTTACTTCAGGATCGAGACTGGCTTTGCTGCCAGGTCCTTTTTTAAACACCGTCAACTCCCACACGAGCAAACTGTCCAACTCACATTTTTCATAAGATTTAACTGTTCTTACGATCAAATGCGTCTCTAGCGATGATGTGATGAGTTGCCAAATAATTGAGATTATTTTAAAATGTTTTATTCATATTCTTGTTTTGTAATTAAAATTTACATTCCGTGTGTGTGAATTTTTTTTTTTTTTTGACTCAATGTAAAGTGGATATTTCTGTCATTTTACATGGTTTCTTACTGAGATTTTATATATAAATTATAAAATGTTTCCCAAAACCTTAGTGGTAAGAATTTTTTCTTTCCTGAACTTTACAATTTCTCCCTTTGAAAGCCATTTCTTCTCTTAGACACGTTCCATTTTCACATTTCAATGGTCGGTGAAGGCGTCCCTCTTGATAGAATTAAATATGAGGTGACATTGCTCTTCTGACAAGATTCGTGGAGAATTGACAAAGTAGTATGTAGTTCCGGTCCACTCATTTTCACTGGTGTATAGTACTTCATTTAAAGACACTATCACAATATACTAAGCCCATGGTCGGCAAACTGTGGCTCTCAAGCCACATGTGGCTCTTTGGCCCCTTGAGTGTGGCTCTTCCACAAAATATCACGGCCTGGGCAAGTCTATTTTGAAAAAGTGGTATTAAAAGAAGTTTAAGTTTAAAAAAATTGGCTCTCAAAAGAAATTTCAATCATACTATTGATATTTGGCTCTGTACTGAGCTATCCATTTGCCTGTTATGGTCTTCAGGTTGTTTCTGGGTTAACATTTCTATGAATATTCTACAAGTATTTTGCAGGCAGACCTTTCCAAACTTACCTTTGTACATTGAGGAAGCGATATTTGTCGGCACATAGAGGTAGGTGGGCGGACAAGGCTGGCTGTTGTCTCCAGGTCATTAACCTGTGAACCAGAGCGCCAGCCCACCCAGCACTTTGAAGGCTACGACTTTAATGGAGCCCCGGCCCCCCATGCCAAGACACCGGCTTTCTGCTCCAGGGTACAACTGCTCATGCCTAGGGTGGGCGTGTTTTCACTCTGCAGGATAAAGCCGAATTGGTTCCCAGATGCTGTTGCCACGCTGTGTTCCTGCCAGCGGTGTACTGCTCTTCCCTGGCATGTGGTTCAGTCCAGGCTGCTTCAGCTGTGCCTCTGGACAGTGGGAAAGATCTCACTGTGGTGAGATGCTCAAGGAAATGGAACATCTTTCCATGTGTTTATTTCCATCCATGCTTCCTCTCCTGTGAAATGCCTGTTCGTGCCTTGTGTCCATTTTGTTCTTTGTGGCTTTTTTGTTTGGTTGGTTGGTTGTTTTTTGCTGACTCGTAGGAGTTCTTCATATATTCTTATATGAAGATATAAGCATCTATACTAATAAAAGGGTTAATATGCTCATTAGACTGGGTCCACCAGCCATCTTCCGGATGTCCAACTTCCTTCTGGACAAAACCACGGTGGCAGGGGCCGAGGCAGAGGCAGTTAGGGGCAATCAGACCAGTAGGGGAGCAGTTAGGGGGTGACCAGGCCAGCAGGGGACCAGTTAGGGGCCGATCAGGCAGGCAGGTAGAGTAGTTAGGGATGATCAGAGAGGCAGGCAGGGGAGCAGTTAGGAGCCCGCAATCCCAGATTGTGAGTCAGACATCCCTGAGGGGTCCCGGATTGGAGAGGGTGCAGGTCAGGCTGAGGGACTGCCCCCATCCCCAGTCCCGTGCATGAGTTTCGTGCACCCGGCCTCTAGTATCTATACATTCAGCATAATAAAACTTTGTGTATATGTGTTGCGAATACCCTCCAACACACACGTACACACATATGCACAATGTGCATTTTTTTTCATTTTCTTTATGGTACTTTCTGGTGAACAGTTTTTAATTTTAAAAGTGGATAGAAACTTCACTTTGTGTTTCTTGGTGCATCTTGGCTGAAAATCAATAATCTAAAAGCTTTGATGTTTTGCCTCCTATGTTTATGACATAGAGAAGAAAGAGCAATGTTAATGCATGACCCAGGAAGCCAAGTTCACAGAAGGGTTTAGGCCAAACTCCCGGCACCAGCAGATTTTAATGTGATCCGAGGCCAGAGGCACACAACTGGGTCAGCTTGGGTCAGACTGCTTCAGTCTATACTGGCTGCCTCGCCCACTGGGGTCTGTCTCTAACCATTGCCCTTCACATCTCTTCCCTTTTAGATTCTTTAACACCTATTTCCCACACCGTCCTTTTGCTTGTTTGCTCCCCTATTTTGCTGAAGCACTAGCATCTAAGAAATGGCTTCTGCCATAAGTAAGAATCTTAGAGACACCCAGAATCGAGCTTCCTAATAATGCCAAAGATATAAGTAGACGGGACAGCCGACCTTCTTCCTGGGGTGACCTGGCCAGTGTCAAGTTCTCCAGGGAGCTGTGTCCCCGTGAACCACTAGGTTCCCAGGGGGTTTCTTTGTGTGCCTTGTTCCTGGAGAGACCAAGCACCTTCCACTAAAGACCTTCCGTGAGTACCCACTCCCCGTCCAGCTGTTTGTCTGAAGGTCAAACACTAAAGTGGACAAGGATTTCTAGCTCCAGATCACTTTCCTCCTGTGCTGGGCACCTCTCACTGTTGGACTGAGGGCCTGACGCCAACCATTCTCTTCTCTTCCTACTGCGTCTTGCACGGAGACCTTGTCTTGGGGTGCAGTCCACTATTGAGAACCACATCAGCTCTTTTTTTTTTTTTTTAATTGATTTCAGAGGAGAAAGAAGAGAGAGGGAGAGAGAGAGAGATCTATGATGAGAGAATCATTCATAGGCTGCCTCCTGCACACCCCACTCTGGGAATTGAGCCTGCAACCCAGGCGTGTGTTCTGACCTGGAATCCAATTGTGATCTCCTGGTTCATAGGTCTATGCTCAACCCCTGAGCCACACCATCCCGGCCACATCAGTTATTTTTAACACAAAGAATATTGAGAATGGACTTCAACCATTATTTAAGGATGAAAAAGCAATAGGGCAGCACGATGTGCCACAGAGTGACTAACCAGAAAGCAGCCCTCAGCACTCTGGGCTTGGGAATAAAAGGGAAGCCTGAGTGGGGAGGACGTGGGAGGGGATGGGTGCAGAGTGAGAACTCAGACCTGGGGAAGGGTGCAGCCTGCCTGCCTTGGACAGGTCCCTGCGGCTGGTTCTGGGAGAGGAGAATCTGGGACCCGCTGGCAATGCCGAGTAAAAAGCCATAGCCAGGCAGAAGCTAACTGATGGCAGGAAGGGTGAGCAAAGAAGAGGAAACAAGTTCCTTCTCACACTTGAGCCCTTGGGTGCTTTTAATGCCCTGCTTGACAGAAGCTGAGAGCCAGCCAGCTAAGGAGAATAATGTCTGCAGACTCCCAGCCCCATCACAAAGCAGAGGTGGGATGGCTGCATGAAGCAAAGGGACCACAGCTTAGTGATCAGTTACCACCCGCACGTCTGCTCACCCACACCCATCCATCCCACCCTCCTTTGCACATTTAAGTTTCTCTACAAGAACAGCTGTGTCCCGGCCAGTGTGGCTTAGTTGGTTGGGTGTCATCCTGTGCAGCAAAAGGTTGCCAGTTGGATTCCCAGACAGGGCACATGCCCAGGGTTATGGGCTAGATCTCCTGTAAGGGGCATGCAGGAGGCAGCCGATGGATGTTTTTCTCTCTTTACAAATTCAATAAAAAGTCTTACAAAATAACTGTGACTGTGGATTCCCTTCTTCCCTGGGAAGCTCAGCAATGCACCGTGAGTGAGAGTCAACTGTGGGATTCGCCTGGCACCTGAGTGCTCTGTGGCAGCAGGGCCTTACCCAGGCTGGGCTGCCATGCTTTCTAAAACTGCAAGTCCACGGGCATCTCTCTTTCAGAGCCTCTGCAGAGACCGTGTGTCCTCCTTCACTCAGCTTAGATCTCCTGAAGGACTCGTCTCCTCATTTGCATCTAGAACATGCCTTCCCTGTGATCTCTTGCAGAATGGGGTCCAGGCTCTGTATAAAATGTCATCCTTTCAAAATGAGTTTATCATTAGAGCTCAGAGTTGTTTTTATTATATTTGCAGGAACCAATTTGTCAGTCTTCAGCAACTCTGACTCAAAACAGTTAGATTCCCAATTTTTCAACCAAGAACTTGCCTTCGCCTATTTTTGGCTCGTGGGTCTCTCTGTTTACCCTCAAACGTTGTTGCTAAATTCATCCCTGTCATTCTGGGGTCTTCTGGTCCTTCAGAAAGACTCTTTCCCCATAAACATCCTCGGAGTTG